TCACATCATACATGCAGCTTTTATGTCCAGTTGAAGGAATAGTTTGACATTTTGGAAAATGCGCTCATTCACTTCCTTGTAACCAGTTAGAAGAAAAGATCGATACCACTCTCACATATGTAAGTCCACAGTCAGCAGCTGCTTAGTGAACATCCACCAGATAGTAAAAAGGCTTGTTACTGTGCCCTGCCAACAAATTTGCCATTTAAAGCTCCCATATTTTACACTTGCAGTGTTTTATTTGAAGTGTTGATCCGTGAGAAGATATATTTGTGGTTTTAGGTGTAAAAAAAAACTCCTCGATGTAGTTTTACATCTCCTTTCTCAGGCTTCTCTCTGGAGCTCTAGCAACAACAGGTCGGTGAGCCAATCAGAAGAGAGGTTCTGAGTCTCTCCTCTGATTGGCTAACTGTTTTCTGATTGATTGAATAGAAATATAGCAGATTTCAGGTAAACACTCAGAGAAACCAAATCTTGCAAGGCTAGATGGTGGGTCCAGGTGGGCGGGGTTTTGGGCGTGGCTGAGAACGGTGACTGCTTTGTTGTGACATCACAAAGTTACAGAAGTCCTGACGGCTCGGGCTGTGTGCATTTCTTCATGCACTGAGTACGTTGATAGTTTAACAGTATTAATGTAGAACCCAGACCTGCTTAATAATAAAAAAATAAAAAAACATGGAAATCTCACTTCATACAATATGGGACCTTTAAATCCACATAAAACCACATTGTAGTTTTTACACATTGTTTTTTCTACAGATTAAACAAACAAGTTCAAAGATGTTGGCAGATTTTGTAAACCTTCAGACATAGCCAGACTAGCTGTTTGCTCCTCTTTACAGTATTTATGCTACGCTAAGCTAAAAAGGCTGCTGACTGTAGCCTTGTATTGAACAACACTGAGAGGAGAGAGGAATTGATATTCTCATCTAACTCTATACAAGAAAGGAAATGAGTGTAACTCCCAAAGTGTCAAACTAGTCATGTCTCTAGGGATCAGCATCATGCACAACATCAGGCCCTTCAATTACTCATTTTTCATGGATGACTTGCAGTTGAATTAGCCAACAGCTCCTCAGGTGCAGTCTCTATGTTGTCATTTTCTAAGTAAAGCAAGTTTTTGTTACAATTCCATGAACTGAGATCAAACCAAAGATAATCTGGTGACGTGTGGGTGAATGTGAGCAAGTGTGACTCCATTCTTTTAATCGTCTGATCCCTCCCTCCTAAAATCACTCCTGATTTCTCCCCCTTTTCCCCTTTTTCTTGCATCTCAACAGCCATCAAGGGCTTCTCACCCCAGCACAAGATCACTAGCTTCGAGGAGGCAAAGGGTCTGGACCGCATCAACGAGAGGATGCCGCCACGGCGAGACGCCTTGCCCTCCGACGCCAGCCTCAACTCCCTCAACAAGGCCCTGTCCTCGGAGACCAACGGCACAGACGCCAAGGGAAGCACCAGCAGCGGCAGCAACATCCAGTGAAGCAGCAGCAGCAGGCGCCACCTTGGCCGACGGGGCTGCCCCGCCCCCTGCCTCATCTCGGCCCGCCACCGCAGAAAAGGGGCAAAGGGTGAAGGAGTGGAAAGGAGGGGGGAGTGTTGGAGTGTGGAGGGTGGGAGGCATCTATGGCTCACACTGGGGGGACATCTCACTTGCTAGTCTTTGGATATGCCTTCAAAATATTAGTTCATAGTCAAATCTGCTAAGTTATTGCCGGTTCACATTTCTGAGCAGTCAGGCCTTTATTGTGCTTGATGCTACACCACACCACAGTATGTCGGAGAGAAAGAGAAAGAGAGGGATAGATAGATCCTTAAGGTGATTTATTTTCTTTTTTTTCTTGAAAGACCCTTGCTCATTTACACCAAAATGGAAAGTCGTCTAACTTCTTACTAACTATTGTACGTTTACAAAAATACAGCACTAAAAAGGACAGAACATGAGATAATGTTTTTAACATATAAGGGTGTACAAACTAAATAAGGACTATTTATTGATAACTTTTTTTTGCTACTCTTATAAAATAGCTCTGAAATTAATTAGGCAGTCTTAAAAAGAATGTTGCAATGTTGTCGAAATGCCAAATAATGGAACGTTTTATGGTTTTGTACATATTATGCTTACCTCAGGTTCTTTTGGTGTGTGCTTTGACCTGATTTTTCTGTATAATGGCTAAATAACTCGGTAATGAATACCTATTTTCTTGAGTTTCATAACTGGAATTTACATTTACCTATCTATCATTTGCAAATATGTTTATTTTTTGTCTCTTTTGGAAGGGGGGCAGATTTATTGTGGCTTGCTGGAACTGAGTGTTAATTTTTCTCTTTTTAAGTATTGCGAACAAAGTAAAAATAGAGAACCTATATTGTGTAAAAAAAAAAAAGAAAAAAAGAATACAATAAACTTAAAGTGTCTGCCTATGCATGTTTTATAAAAATCAAACAAAGGAACTAGAAAATCTGAATACCTTGGCTGTGGAGGCCTGTTTTGAAATATATTGCGCTTTAGTGAACATATACTGGAAACGTATACCTGCATACTTTCAATTAACACCATGATGCTCTATGCCTTCAACTTCTTTTTGTAATTGAAGCATTTAATTATCTAAGATGGATGAGAAATCATATTTTTAACCTGCGCTTGTAAGTGCACACAGTCCAATTAAGCATGTTTGACAATTCTTGTGAGGTGTGTGGTTACATGTGGAACTCAAAAATGCATGATTAGCTGTTTGTGTCATATAACAGGTAAATCGGTTTTGTTCTGTTTTGTAAATGTGCCACAGAAAGTGTAATTTGATTATGATTACTATTATTATTTGGAACTCTGCTTTGTATATCAGTTACAGGTTTGATACTGCTCAATACTTTAAGATGAAACAAAAAATACTTCGATCTTTTTTAAGAACTGCTTAAGTGCCCAAGTAATTCACTACACGACATGAAGCCTTGCTTTTGTAATTTAACTTCAAAACTGTTGGCAGATGAGGCATGCACTTGCAACTATGAAAAGTATTTTATATAACTGTTCAATAAAAATGTGCATGAATTTCAACTTGAAATGAATCTGTTTCTCCTGTGTGTGTGTGTGTGTGTGTGTGTGTGTGTGTGTGTGTGTGTGTGTGTGTGTGTGTGTGTGTGTGTGTGTGTGTGAGAGAGAGTGTGAGAGTGTGTGAGTGTGTGAGTGTGTGAGAGAGACACGCAGGCTGTCCTGCAGTGCTCTGCCAGTGAATATGCAACCATGTACATACCACACACAATCTTTTGGGCATTTTCTGCAAGCTACGTGATGGCCTGTGTTTTTCAACAAGATTGCAGGAAACCATTACCCATAATTCATACCTGCAAGGAAACAAAAAGACACTAAGAATAGAGACAATGGAGTCACAATATGTCATTCACACCTCAGAGTTCAAGAGGGGAAGAGATGCCTGGAAAAATAGATGTGAGAGTTTTGTCAAGGCTTTTCAACACCACACATCCTGTCTTAACTCTCTTCTATATCATTCCATAAGCATCTTTACACTGACATGAGTTCGGTGTCTGGAAAATAATCCACTCAACTGTATGACATGGCATGGCATGTATGACTGTGTGACTTGGCGTTGACTGCTCAGTATGGAGATGGGAAATTGCTTCTTGGCAGTTTCACAACAAAGGTGTTTCCTCTTCATCAACCTTCGTGACTACTTTGATTAAACTTGGAGGACAAAGCCAAGATTGCTCAAGTTTACCTGCACACATTAGAGATCTGCAGGCTTCCTCTTTCCACAAAGACAAAATGTGCATTTGAACTTTTTCAACTTGTTTCTCATAATCCAACCTGCCTCTACTCTCCAAAGTAGTTGTCCAAATGAATTAAATACTCTAACATAAAGTAACTTTAAAGCAGCCTACATTTTATTGTCCCTGTTTTCTGATGTGTCCTTCTTTGGTCTCTTCAAGTGAAATCAAAAACAATGTTAAAATGAAAGGAAGTAAACTCTGACATCCTGTTTTCTTTTTTCTTTTTCTTTTTTTTTTTCTATTTGGGACCGGCAAAAAACAGGAGCTAGGTTTTGTGGGATAATATGAAGGCGAAGTGAGTTCAATGTCAGAGAATTAATGAAGTGAGACCAGTAGTGAACAGCCAATGTTCACTATCTACGGTACGTCATAGAACAGCCTCAGCCAATTAAACTTCTGAAATAACATGTTTGATTTGAAAAACAAGAGTAAGACTATCCACTTGACTCACAAGTGGAAATAAGATTGAGCCTCACAGTAAGTAGCTTCAACAGTCTGCAGTTTGATCCGTCTAAGGTCATCTCCGTGCTCTCTGGAGGAACTGTTCCATAAACAATGAAGAATAGTGAAACGTCATGGCTGGTATTTGAGTAGCTCCCTGGGGTGTCAAGATTTGGCTCTTTCTCATCTGTTCCAATCATTATTTAACACAACAAACTGCCATTTTGTGATTGTATTTTATTTTTGTGTGTTTTTTTGTTTTGCTGATGGATGTATGTGACAGTAGGAATCTGAAATGTGTGACAGTGTGTATGTGTGTGTGTGTGTGTGTGTGTGTGTGTGTGTGTGTGTGTGTGTGTGTGTGTGGTGCAAGTGGTTCCTGTTTTTGAGGCTTCTGAGTCAGTGCTACTGTCACTTTCCTGTCACAAACTTTATCACGTTACATTTTATTTGTTTTCTTATCTAATTACAATATACTCCTCTGGGTTGACATCCTTTATCTGAGTGATCATAAATGAAATTGTTTTTCCAGTAAGTTCCAGTCTCCTCCCAACTGCTCAAGTGGTTTCAGAGCAGGAAAAAATAAGTGATAGGAGTGGACAATGCATTAGAACACATTATTCAAAACTGCAATTACTATGAAATGGACTTAGGTTTGTACCCACTGGCTGCTTTGTGCTGGTCTCCATAGCCACCTACTTTACGTCAGGGAGGGAAGCCAGTGTATTTCCTCCCCTTCTTTATCTAAAGGAAGTGCCAAAATAAGCATCAGCAGTGGACCGCCCGAGTTGGGACACCTTTTCCATTCGCCACGCAGTAAGAGTCTGAGGGTGAGTCAGAAGGGTTCACAGCCGCAGAATCACCATGAAGTCGACCAGGGTTCTTGTCCTCCTCCTGCTAGCATCAATCCCAGCCTTCAGGACAGGTAGGTGGACCATTCAAACTGCTTTTTGCTGGAATACACGCTGTTAGATTTCACAGAGCTGAAGGCCCTCAGAGGTCTTCACCCAACTTAACTGAGATTGGTTTGTTTCAGCCTTGTTTCTGTGCGTCATCAGTACAATGATGTTTTTTTGTTGTTGTTTTTTTCCTTCACTGCTGCATAAAAAAAAATGAATCTAATATTTTAAAACATTTCCACAAATAGTTTTTTCTGTCACGTTCACCATTGTCATGAGGAAGTAAAAATATCTCTTTTTTGTGCTCTGCGCAACAGTTATTGTTATTCATGTTTTTTCTCATGTAATTTAGTTTTGTTTTGGTATGTGCAAAGATAAAGATCACAGTGTTGTTCAAAAGACACTTACACTTTGAACATTACCTCAGAGACATCCACTCGCAGAGCGTGTTTCCGTTTATCCAGGATGAGATAAGCTTTGTTTGTGCATGCCATCAATTGTCCTCCTCTTTCATTGTACTAAGTTACAAAAAAGATTGCAAGTGATTTATTGTTTGGCCAAGTTTGGTCAAAGTCAAGGAAGAATTTTTTTTTATTACGAACAAGAGAAATGAATCACAAATCTCAACCTCAGGAATGAAAAATCACCGAAGTGAAAAATGAGGCTCTCTTGGTTAAAGAAACGGAAGAAGAAGGTGGCACTTGATTTGTTTGTTTTTCGTATGCAGAACCAAAAGAACTTTTAACTGTTCTGCACTGGACAGATAGGTGATCTAACAGCAGATAGGGTTAGCCAGTGCGAACCAAATTGCCCCCTCTCTCACAGAGACAACAGAGCATTGTCCTGAGACCAAGACGTCCCAACTGGCAACAAATCTACTTCCAGTGTTTAGCCATAAACATCTGGAGGAAACACCCTCACCCTGACTACTGCTCACACAGTGACTGAAATTATTCCACAACAACAAGCTAACTCTTCAGCGACTAATAAATATTCATGAAAAGGGCTCATACAAATATTAAAGACCACTCTGTGAATGAATATGGCTGCTGATTCAACCTTTCACAACAAACATGATATTTTAAAATCTCTTTTCAGCTTCAGACAGTGTACATAATGTAAGTGGTCACTCCATGACTATGGAGTGACATGTCTGTGAGCTCACAGTTGTGTTTGTGTTCATGGTTTCATCAGCTGAAACAGGTGACAAAAAGCAGGACCAAGAGACACCACAGCTAACAAAGCCAAGAGGTATGTCTATTAAAGAAATATTTTAACATTTCAGGAAACATGCTTATTTGATTTGTGACATAGAGTCACATGAGAAGATCAATTCCTCTCTGATATTTCTTGCTTATAAAAACACACAGTGTGACTAGGACTGGGCCCAGAGGACTACAGACATTACTTGAAGCTTTACTCAAAGGACTTGACATTTCAATTAACACTTCAACCAGGGACAACAAGAGACGGTTGCAGCAAGTCTTATTCCTCCAATCAGAACCATGTTAGAGTGATGACACCTATACTGCACATGCTCAGTTACACCCTCCCACCAGCAGGAAGACACAAGACACATTCAACATCTAGCACATGATGTTCTATCATGACTCATAGGATGGGGATGGTTGCAACAAGTTATTGTAACTGTCCCCAAGCGGAGCAGCCATACCAGAATAGACCACACAACAGTATTCTTCAACATTTTTAGTTCAGAATAGAGATTATATGCAGATCATTTTGTGCAATAGCACAAGAGATGCAACAATAAGTGCTCATTTTAACAAACAGGAAAGTACAAACAAGTCATTTTAGGAATTATTTCATTAGCCTCTCATAGTCTTATAGTATATTTTCCTCTTCTATCTATCATAAGAAATATATATATAGATAAATAGTATTAAATAAATAAATACATAATATTATAGTATTATTGTATAAATAAATAATACATAATATAATTTTGAATCAGTGCATATTTTCAGGATGCTAAGCTCATTGAGACAAAAAGCAAAAGTTAATTAGTGAAATTCTATGTATTTTTATCATGTTGCAACCTTCCCTGATTGAAGTTGCAACTGTCCCCAGGGCTGGGGTCAGTTGTAACATCTGAATTCTTCCATTCAAATCAATTTTGTGAATGATATGTCATATATAATCATCTTTAAATGGTATGGGTAATTAGCAGACTGGTGTAAGTTCAATATATAATAGTTTGGTTGGTCCAGATAGTCTCTAAGTAACAGAGAGAAATGCAAAAAATGTTGCAACTGTCCTTGTCTCCCCTACTTGAGGCCTGACTTGAAATTTGCCTCAAAACTTCATTCAGACTTGATTTGAATGAGAATTGACTTGTGACCGCAGAGCATTGTCCTGAGGCTGAGACGTCCCAACTGGCAACAAATCTACTTCCAGTGTTTAGCCATAAACATCTGGAGGAAACACCCTCACCCTGACTACTGCTCACACAGTGACTGAAATTATTCCACAACAACAAGCTAACTCTTCAGCGACTAATAAATATTCATGAAAAGGGCTCATACAAATATTAAAGACCACTCTGTGAATGAATATGGCTGCTGATTCAACCTTTCACAACAAACATGATATTTTAAAATCTCTTTTCAGCTTCAGACAGTGTACATAATGTAAGTGGTCACTCCATGACTATGGAGTGACATGTCGACTTGTTGCAGCTCACAGTTGTGTTTGTGTTCATGGTTTCATCAGCTGAAACAAGTGACAAAAAGCAGACAAGAGACAACACAGCAACAAAGCCAACAGTATGTCTATTAAAGAAATATTTTAACATTTCAGGAAACATGCTTATTTGATTTGTGACATAGAGTCACATGGAGAAGATCAATTCCTCTCTGATATTTCTTGCTTATAAAAACACACAGTGTGACTAGGACTGGGCCAGAGGACTACAGACATTACTTGAAGCTTTACTCGAAGGACTTGACATTTCAATTAACACTTCAACCAGGACAAACAAGAGACGGTTGCAGCAAGTCTTATTCTCCAATCAGAACCATGTTAGAGTAGATGACACCTATACTGCACAATGCTCAGTTACACCCTCCCACCAGCAGGAAGACACAAGACACATTCAACATCTAGCACATGATGTTCTATCATGACTCATAGGATGGGGATGGTTGCAACAAGTTATTGTAACTGTCCCCAAGCGGAGCAGCCATACCAAATAGACCACACAACAGTATATTTCAACATTTTTAGTTCAGAATAGAGAATATATGCAGATCATTTTGTGCAATAGCACAAGAGATGCAACAATAAGTGCTCATTTTTAACAAGCAGGAAAATACAAACAAGTCATTTTAGGAATTATTTCATTAGCCTCTCATAGTCTTATAGTATATTTTCCTCTTCTATCTATCATAAGAAATATATATATAGATAAATAGTATTAAATAAATTAATACATAATATTATAGTATTATTGTATAAATAAATAATACATAATATAATTTTGAATCAGTGCATATTTTTCAGGATGCTAAGCTTCATTGAGACAAAAAGCAAAAGTTAATTAGTGAAATTCTATGTATTTTTATCATGTTGCCAACCTTCCCTGATTGAAAGTTGCAAACTGTCCCAGGGCTGGGTCAGTTGAACATCTGAATTCTTCCATTCAAATCAATTTTGTGAATGATATGTCATATATAATCATCTTTAAATGGTATGGGGTAATTAGCAGACTGGTTGTAAGTTCAATATATAATAGTTTGGTTGGTCCAGATAGTCTCTAAGTAACAGAGAGAAATGCAAAAAATGTTGCAACTGTCCTTGTCCTCCCTACTTGAGGCCTGACTTGAAATTTGCCTCAAAACTTCATTCAGACTTGATTTGAATGAGAATTGACTTGTGACCGCAGAGCATTGTCCTGAGGCTGAGACGTCCCAACTGGCAACAAATCTACTTCCAGTGTTTAGCCATAAACATCTGGAGGAAACACCCTCACCCTGACTACTGCTCACACAGTGACTGAAATTATTCCACAACAACAAGCTAACTCTTCAGCGACTAATAAATATTCATGAAAAGGGTCATACAAATATTAAAGACCACTCTGTGAATGAATATGGCTGCTGATTCAACTTTCACAACAAACATATATTTTAAAACACTGTCTGTGAGCTCACAGTTGTGTTTGTGTTCATAGTTTCATCAGCTGAAACAAGTGACAAAAGCAGGACCAAGAGACACCACAGCTGACAAAGCCAAAGAGGTATGTCTATTAAAGAAATATATCAACATTTCAGGAAACATGCTTATTTGATTTGTGACATAGAGTCACATGAGAAGATCAATTCCTCTTCTGATATTTCTTGCTTTAAAACACTTAAAGGCTAGACTTGACACATGAACCAAAAAGAAGGGGAGATTGGGGACGGTTGCAACAAGAGACGGTTGCAGCAAGTCTTATTCCTCCAATCAGAACCATGTAATAGAGTGATGACACCTATACTGCACATGCTCAGTTACACCCTTCCCACAGCAGGAAGACACAAGACACATTCAACATCTAGCACATGATGTTCTATCATGACTCATAGGATGGGGATGGTTGCAACAAGTTATTGTTAACTGTCCCCAAGCGGAGCAGCCATACCAGAATAGACCACACAACAGTATTCTTCAACATTTTTAGTTCAGAATAGAGATATATATGCAGATCATTTTGTCAATAGCACAAGAGATGCAACAATAAGTGCTCATTTTAACAAGCAGGAAAATACAAAACAAGTCATTTTAGTGACATGTCTGTGAGCTCACAGTTGTGTTTGTGTTCATGGTTTCATCAGCTGAAACAAGTGACAAAAAGCAGGACCAAGAGACACACACAGCTAACAAAAGCCAACAGGTATGTCTATTAAAGAAATATTTTAACATTTCAGGAAACATGCTTATTTGATTTGTGACATAGAGTCACATGAGAAGATCAATTCCTCTCTGATATTTCTTGCTTATAAAAACACACAGTGTGACTAGGACTGGGCCCAGAGGACTACAGACATTACTTGAAGCTTTACTCAAAGGACGTGAGATTTCAATTAACACTCAACAAAACACTTGAGACTTGTCTCAAAGTAATTATATGACTTAAGACTTAACTTGGTGCTTGTTCTGAAACACTTGAAACCTGACTCATTTTGAATGACTTAAAGGACTTGGGACTTGCCTTGGACTTGTCTCAAATAACTTTAATGACTTGAGATTTACACTGAAATACACGAGTCCAGGTTTGGACTTGTTACAAAAGGCATAAGACTCCAATCTTCACTTGTGGCTTGTTCTGAAATACCCGACTTATGCTTTTGTCAAATGATTTGAAGGACATGAGACCTGAGACTTCCCCTAAAATACTTGACACTTGACTTGGACCTCCCTCAAAGGTTTTAGAACAACTCTGGCAAGAGCTGATATTTGAAATCTCTTTTCAGCTTCAGACAGTGTACATAATGTAAGTGGTTACCTGCTCCATGACTATGGAGTGACATGTCTGTGAATTCATAATTGCGTTTGTGTTCATAGTTTCATCAGCTGAAACAAGTGACAAAAAGCAGGACCAAGAGACAACACAGCCAACAAAGCCAACAGGTATGTCTATTAAAGAAATATTTTAACATTTCAGGAAACATGCTTATTTGATTTGTGACATAGAGTCACATGAGAAGATCAATTCCTCTCTGATATTTCTTGCTTATAAAAACACACAGTGTGACTAAGACTGGGCCCAGAGGACTACAGACATTACTTGAAGCTTTACTCAAAGGACGTGAGATTTCAATTTACACTCAACAAAACACTTAAGACTAGACTTGACACATGAACCAAAAGAGGGGAGATTAGGGAGGGTTGCAACAAGAGACGGTTGCAGCAAGTCTTATTCCTCCAATCAGAACCATGTTAGAGTGATGACACCTATACTGCACATGCTCAGTTACACCCTCCCACCAGCAAGAAGACACAAGACACATTCAACATCTAGCACATGATGTTCTATCATGACTCATAGGATGGGGATGGTTGCAACAAGTTATTGTAACTGTCCCCAAGCGGAGCAGCCATACCAGAATAGACCACACAACAGTATTCTTCAACATTTTTAGTTCAGAATAGAGATTATATGCAGATCATTTTGTCCAATAGCACAAGAGATGCAACAATAAGTGTTCATTTTAACAAGCAGGAAAATACAAACAAGTCATTTTAGTGACATGTCTGTGAGCTCACAGTTGTGTTTGTGTTCATGGTTTCATCAGCTGAAACAAGTGACAAAAAGCAGGACCAAGAGACAACACAGCTAACAAAGCCAACAGGTATGTCTATTAAAGAAATATTTTAACATTTCAGGAAACATGCTTATTTGATTTGTGACATAGAGTCACATGAGAAGATCAATTCCTCTCTGATATTTCTTGCTTATAAAAACATACAGTGTGACTAGGACTGGGCCCAGAGGACTACAGACATTACTTGAAGCTTTACTCAAAGGACGTGAGATTTCAATTAACACTCAACAAAACACTTGAGACTTGTCTCAAAGTAATTATATGACTTAAGACTTAACTTGGTGCTTGTTCTGAAACACTTGAAACCTGACTCATTTTGAATGACTTAAAGGACTTGGGACTTGCCTTGGACTTGTCTCAAATAACTTTAATGACTTGAGATTTACACTGAAATACACGAGTCCAGGTTTGGACTTGTTACAAAAGGCATAAGACTCCAATCTTCACTTGTGGCTTGTTCTGAAATACCTGATTTATGCTTTTGTCAAATGATTTGAAGGACATGAGACCTGAGACTTCCCCTAAAATACTTGACACTTGACTTGGACCTCCCTCAAAGGTTTTAGAACAACTCTGGCAAGAGCTGATATTTGAAATCTCTTTTCAGCTTCAGACAGTGTACATAATGTAAGTGGTTACCTGCTCCATGACTATGGAGTGACATGTCTGTGAATTCATAATTGCGTTTGTGTTCATAGTTTCATCAGCTGAAAGAGGTGACAAAAAGCAGGACCAAGAGACAACACAGCCAACAAAGCCAACAGGTATGTCTATTAAAGAAATATTTTAACATTTCAGGAAACATGCTTATTTGATTTGTGACATGGAGACATGGCACACAACGTGACTAGGACTGGACCCAGAGGACTACAAACATTACTTGAAGCTTCACTCAAAGGTCTTGAGACTTGACACCTGAGCCAAAATACTTGAGGCCTGACTTGAAATTTCCTTCAAAACTTCAATCAGACTTGACTCAAGTGAGACTTGATGTGTGACTTACTCCAAAATAATAAGAATTAAGGCCTAACTTGGTGCTTGTTCTGAAATATTTGAAACCTGACTTGGACTCATTTTGAATGATGTAAAGGACTTGGGACTTGCCTTGGACTGGTCTCAAATAACTGTAATGACTTGAGATTTGCTCAGAAATACAATTCCTCCAATCAGACCTATGTTAGAGTGATAACAACCTATACTGCACATGCTCAGTTACACCCTCCCACCAGCAGGAAGACACAAGACACATTCAACATCTAGCACATGATGTTCTATCATGACTCATAGGATGGGGATGGTTGCAACAAGTTATTGTAACTGTCCCCAAGCGGAGCAGCCATACCAGAATAGACCACACAACAGTATTCTTCAACATTTTTAGTTCAGAATAGAGATTATATGCAGATCATTTTGTGCAATAGCACAAGAGATGCAACAATAAGTGCTCATTTTAACAAACAGGAAAATACAAACAAGTCATTTTAGGAATTATTTCATTAGCCTCTCATAGTCTTATAGTATATTTTCCTCTTTTATCTATCATAAGAAATAAAAGTCCACGAGTCCAGGCTTGGGCTTGTTTCAGATGATATAAAGCACTCAACATTTCACATGTGAGTTGTTCTGAAATATCTGACTTATGCTTTTGTCAAATGACTCAAAGGTCATGAGACCTGAGACTTCCCCTAAAATACTTGACATTTGACTTGGACCTCCATCAAAAATTTAAAAACAGCTCAGGCAAAATAAAGAGCTGTTGTTTTTTTTTTTCCTGATGAGGAGCATGAAGCCAGACAGAGCTGCATGTGGTCCAAACTAAAACGTACACTTCAGCCCTTCAGTGACTGCTCTGGTGTGAAATATGTTGAATGGGATCACAGCTGACAACAGTGAAGACAGGAAGCTTGGCTGCACAGGTCAGGGGATAACAATAGTATGTCTGGGACAGGATACAGCTTCACACTGCTGCAATGTTTCGAGCAGAGGATATCCACCTCAACACTCCTCCACCTCCACCACTATCTTGACTTCTCATCCCCAGTCTGACACTTGGAGTAAGGGCACGCCTTTGTCTCAGACTCTGGCCTTTAAAGTTTCGCCAAACACAAAGTGACGCAAACATACAACTAGAGAAAAAATATTGAGAGTCTGTCAGAGGAAATGTTTTACACAGACAAACTGACACTGGTGTTTTTATGATGGAAGCATTTTGAATTCCTGGATAACACATCAGTTTTAGATATTCCCCTCTGTCCTCAGACAGTGAGGATGTAGAGCATAAAAGCCAGAGGGATGATTTAGAGGTCGCAGTGCACAGTGACTGAGCACAAATGTGGACACTTAGCTTCAGTGCTGCTTACATGTGACTGAAGTTGGTCCACAACGACACAAAGAGAAACAAAAAAACAAACATTTTAAAATCTTTTTTCACCTTCAGACAGTGTACATAATGTAAGTGGTTACCAGCTCCGTGACAACGGAATGACATGTCTGTGAGTTCATAATTGTGTTTCTGTTTATAGTTTCCCCAGGTAGACCAGATGACACAGATGCCAAAACGCAAGACCAAGGGGCACCACAAACCAAAATAACTCCACAAGTACGTCTATGAAAGTAATAGTTTGACTATTTTGGAAACATGGATTTTTTGGTTCTGTGGAGTTAGAGGAGTATGCCATCAATAAAGAATAAATCTGCAAAAGAATAATGAAATAAATTGGAACTGCAAAGAGAATAAACAAAAGAATAATAAGTAAATAAAAGAATGTGGATATATAAAGAGAAATTAACAAAGAATAATTTGCTTTTGCTATTCCTGCTAGAGGGTCAAGCTCTCCATTCGACTGGCTTTGGGTGAGCCTTCCTGCCCAGCGGCTGAGCAGTCAATTCCTGCACAAAACTGGGGAAAGAAAGAAAAATAAAAGGATAAAAGTGAATAAATGGACACATTATGAAAAACAATCAAATAAAAAAATTGAATCTATCAAAAAATAATAATTTATATGCAAAAGATAAATAGATTTTCCTCAAAATATGTAATGAATATATACAGAAATAAATGAACGCGATAAATGCTAAAAAAAAATGAACATGTTGTTATATATATTGTTTTATATTTGGTTATTTGTCATTATATTCCTCATTATTTGTTTTTACTACTTATTCATTCTTAATTTATTCTTCTTTATATTTCCATATTTATTTTCTTACTCTTTGATAGATTCATTCTTTTTTATGGCACTCATATGACTCCATACTTTATGACAGAGTAAGATGAGAAAATTAATACCACTCTGATAGTTCTTGCTTGCCTAGGACTTGCCCCAAAGGACAATAGACATGACTTGAAGCTTTACTCAAAGGACTTGAAATTTTAATTAACACTTAAACCAAAACACTAAACTTGCACTTGTCTCTAATGACTTAAAGGTCTTGAGACTTGACATCTGAGCCAAAATACTTGAGGCCTGACTTGAAATTTGCTTCAAAACTTCATTCAGACTTGACTCAAGTGAGACTTGATGTGTGACTTACTCCAAAATAATAAGAATTTGCTTGAAGTAAGATTGTCTCAAACTAATTATAGGACTTAGGGCCTAACTTGGTGCTTGTTCTGAAATATTTGAAACCTGACTTGGACTCATTTTGAATGATGTAAAGGACTTGGGACTTGCCTTGGACTGGTCTCAAATAACTGTAATGACTTGAGATTTGCTCAGAAATACACGAGTCCAGGCTTGGACTTGTTTCAGATGATATAAAGCACTCAACATTTCACATGTGAGTTGTTCTGAAATATCTGACTTATGCTTTTGTCAAATGACTCAAAGGTCATGAGACCTGAGACTTCCCCTAAAATACTTGACATTTGACTTGGACCTCCATCAAAAATTTAAAAACAGCTCAGGCAAAATAAAGAGCTGTTTTTTTTTTTTTTCCTGATGAGGAGCATGAAGCCAGACAGAGCTGCATGTGGTCCAAACTAAAACGTACACTTCAGCCCTTCAGTGACTGCTCTGGTGTGAAATATGTTGAATGGGATCACAGCTGACAACAGTGAAGACAGGAAGCTTGGCTGCACAGGTCAGGGGATAACAATAGTATGTCTGGGACAGGATACAGCTTCACACTGCTGCAATGTTTCGAGCAGAGGATATCCACCTCAACACTCCTCCACCTCCACCACTATCTTGACTTCTCATCCCCAGTCTGACACTTGGAGTAAGGGCACGCCTTTGTCTCAAACACTGGCCTTTAAAGTTTTGCCAAACACAAAGTGACGCAAACATACAACTAGAGAAAAAATATTGAGAGTCTGTCAGAGGAAATGTTTTACACAGACAAACTGACACTGGTGTTTTTATGATGGAAGCATTTTGAATTCCTGGATAACACATCAGTTTTAGATATTCCCCTCTGTCCTCAGACAGTGAGGATGTAGAGCATAAAAGCCAGAGGGATGATTTAGAGGTCGCAGTGCACAGTGACTGAGCACAAAACTGGACACTAGCTTCAGTGCTGCTTACATGTGACTGAAGTTGGTCCACAACGACACAAAGAGAAACAAAAAAACAAACATTTTAAAATCTTTTTTCACCTTCAGACAGTGTACATAATGTAAGTGGTTACCAGCTCCGTGACAACGGAATGACATGTCTGTGAGTTCATAATTGTGTTTCTGTTTATAGTTTCCCCAGGTAGACCAGATGACACAGATGCCAAAACGCAAGACCAAGGGGCACCACAACCAAATAACTCCACAAGTACGTCTATGAAAGTAATAGTTTGATATTTTGGGAAACATGGCTATTTGCTTTCTGAGAGTCAGATGAGATCAACCTGTTAGCTAAGCTTAACTTAGCACAAAGACTGGGAACAGGGGGTAACAACTTGCATGGCTTGGCTTGGCTGAACGTATCAAACTCTTTAATTTCACTTTTTATTTGTAGAAAAAATTGAACCTCCAGTACCATCCATTCTGAAGCCCAATTCATCTACAGACTAAAAGAATGTGACAAACGATGAAAGTTAGACTCTGTTTGTGCCTTTGCAAAGTTAGTGTGGTGATGGCAGATTAAAGTGTGTCAAATGTGTCAAATGTGGTTAGTTGCACCATTGAGTCCATCATGATTACTTAAGAATTATACCTTAGTTCCTGTTTCTTAGTGCAACAGAATAATAAAATGTATAAGTAATAATAAGTGTGGCAAACCAAGAGTAGGAAGAATTGGCCAAAATTACAAAAAGTAACAAAGATCTGATGGAGATTTGTTACATTCTTTTTTCTTTTGTCTATTAGCTATGCAAAATCAACCTCTGAAACCAAGATCTTCTCACCTTCCAAACCAAAGCAACCACAATGATACTTCCTCTGGTCCAGGTAGTACACCATGAGTAATAGTAGGCTTTTTTTAATTCAGAGAGATGATTACAGTTTGTAAAACTGAATAAGTTATCAGTTTTACTGGCATGAGAGCATGGTGTGGTGATGCAGGATGTCATTTTTTTTTTTAAAAGATACCTGTTTATATTTTGTTAGGACCTGATGACACTGAAGAATCAAAAACAAACAAAGGTACTTGTCAAATGAAAATAAGATCACTTGTTGTTTTCATGACTGTCTCAAAACTATGAGAAGTTCATTGCAGAAAGGTGCAGATATCATCAGTATTTTATGTTTTATTCAAATTTCATTAAATTATACTGGTCCTCGTTGTCTGCAGGCAAAGCTACTTCTGCCACAGGTACAGTACACCATCTATTATATGTTATGTTTGTTCATGTTTTGTCTTTTATAGAAACCTTTCCATTTGTTAGTCTTTTACTCCCTATATTAACGTATATTAACATTCATAAATGAAAAATAAAAAATTCCAACATATGTCCTATGATTACAAACAAACATGCAGTTGTCCTCTACACTGTGAGGTGGATACTTTTACTCAAGTTACTTCACATGTCCATGACAATGTACATTTTGAAGTACATCATAACTAAAAGCTGGTATCCACAGTACATTTCTAATTACTAAATCTGTGATACATCTATTTGCATGGATAGCTGTACGTTGCAAGTGTGAAAATTATTGGCTTGTTGTAAGTCTTTTTAAATGGCATTAATTGATTAATTTATTTCAATGATCATAATCACACATCACACCATTCCACTTCCAGAGAATCCTCAACCTGAAGAAGAAAATCCTAAAGAGAATGGTGCTGGTGAGTTATACTGTGCTACTGATTATGTTTATTCTGCAGATAAATCAATGATTGAAGAATCATAAGTCATTTTTTCATATTGTTGGGTGGTAATGGACAGGAAACTAATCAAAAACACATTGCTTTCAAAGGTTCTCACACTGGGAGTGATGAGAAAGTACCACCCACCAAATCAGGTAATGTGCTGAACAGCATTCTGCTGGACTTGTTGCTCATACCCCACAAACACTCACCAGCGATGCCACAGATGCAAGGTTAAGGAGTCTATAACCAAGCTAGCAGCTCTGTGCATGGGAGCTTTGAGTTAAATGCTAACTTTAGTATGCTATCAACATGTCCACCATGCTAGTTTAGCATGTAAGCATGCCAGAATTTGCTAATTTGCTCTGAACATCAAGTAAATTGTGTTAGATATTGCAACTGCTACATCTCTGGTCTTTCACTAGTTAGACAAAGTCAAACTGGATTGATGTTGATGACAGTCTCCTTCTGTGTTACCCTCAGACAATAAGCTGTGGTGGATTCTGCTGCCTGTCACTTTGATTACTGGTGCTGCTGTTGCCACCTTCCTCAAATTCAAACACAAGAGGGTCAACGAATGCACAGGTACATGTAAAAGTAGACTGTACAATGTACTAATATCACAGAGTGCATCTATTTACTGTCACACTTTAAGTGACTTAATGTTGTTGCTGGCACTGGTAATCATTTCAATGAAAATATAAATATTTCAGCTACTAGGTGAGGATGGTGAAATATAGTTTGTTTGTAAATGCTTCTTCTTGTCTTCGACTCTACAGAAACCAATGATACTGGAACTGAGAAGTAAGTTTGAACTTTGTCGTTACAGACAGTATTTTAAAGGTGTGTGAACAAGCAAAGCATTCGTCGCACTGTCTCTCTGACTCTCCACAGCGCGTCTTTCCAGAGCAGACCCGAAAGCACCAAAGATGGTGTCATGCTCCTCGGAGTGAAGTCATCAAGCGGAGAAGAGAATGGTGAGCTGCCTTCCGTCTATTTCCTGCAAGAGTTCCTTCCAGCTTCCTTCTGTTTGTGCATTCTTGCAGCACTTGGTAAAGCTGTTTCTCCAGACACAGATTTGCAATGATTCCAGGGAAGTTACAGGCTTTTAATATCACATTGTACTGTATGGGCTTTGGGGGCTTTTGCTGGGCAACAGAATGTGTTTCCTGTGATTTTGCACCCCCGCCCTCAAACAAGCAGCAGGGCTTGAAAGATAGTGACTTCCTAACATAAACATGGATTATTTTGGACAGGAGCTATTGTCTGGCCAGTAAATGTCAGTGTGGGCCAGACGCTAAAGGCGTGTACATGTTTGTTGGTGGGGTGAAGGCATGTGCACATCCACAGGTGCTCATGTCATATGGGGTTTGTACACAGACTCTGTGCCCCTTCACCCCACCCATTAAAAAAAAAAAAAAAAATGGGCACTAAATGTTCTACTTTCCTTCCCTAATACAATCAGGCCTAGATGACTTGGCGGAGAGCTTCACAGGGAAATGGAGTCATGCTGTAGGAATTTTGCTAAGGAAGAAAGTGTTTATGTTGTCACAGACTTCTGGATTTCTTTGGATTGTAGCTTTATAAATTCTTATGGAACTGCAAAACTTGCTACCCAAATGTCAGAAATACATTCTATGCAGATAAAACAATCCCACACTCATGGACTTAAACCTCACCAGCAAAAAATGCACTTTACTGACTTAATGAACTTGTAGGATGAAGCAAGTGCCACCATAAAAATCCTATCTGTCCTAACTTTATTGTAAAGTAACTGTTGATTATATGTCTTCGGGTGTCAGGAATCTTGTTTTGATTACATTTCTGGATTGGAGAAGCAGTACCACTGACATCCTGTCCTGTGCTGTGCTGTAAGGGGCCAATGCAGTGCTACTGTCTAGTGCTCCTCTGCCTAACAGAGCCTGGAAAACATTGTTTCCTTTACAGTTCAGAAAATAGTTGTGATCGCTTTTCAGGTTGGATAAATTTCTAATTTCTGATCACACAGATGTTGTTTTATCCTGTTGTGGATTCATCAGTTGCCTCTGTTGTTTTTGTGTGTTTCAGCTGCAGCGAGATAAAAACAGAAGGGCAGTAACATCGAGATCAGCCAGTAGATGAGTCACAACTGTCACCCACATACTGGTCTTCTGGAGGAAGTGGTTAGATGTTTAATTTTTTTTGTGAATTTTGTGAAACATTTGTGAAGCAGAAAAGTATTGGAGAGTGGTGTTCATTTATGATTCTGTATGCTGAAAGTAGTTTTATGACTGTGATCATAAACCTCAGAGTAAGTCAACTTATTCTTAACCAGTAAGGACTTCAAACTGTAAACCTCTTTGAAATGCTAGTATATTCAAAATTTTCAGTATACTGTTGACACAGACCTAAATACAGCTACATGACTCATTAGTGTCTATCAAACACCTTTTCCATACAATGCACTGATCTCAGATCCATCACATATTGGATGTAATAAATCACTGTTCATTTGATAGTTTTTTTATAATTATCCTTCAGTGTTGCTCTTGCCTATCATGTTTTTGCCTTAAACTATTTTGTAGATTATGATGTTTTTGTTTTTGACTCTGTGTGTGTGTGTGTGTGTGTGTGTGTGTGTGTGTGTGTGTGTGTGTGTGTGTGTGTGTGTGTGTGTATTCAGTGTCACCAAAAGATGGTATAAGAACAGGCTCTTTTGGGATGTACTCCATTTTTACTTTTTGTGTATCTCAGTAAAGTATTTTTTTTTAATATTCCAGTAGGCTTCTCCACTGGAAACATTTTTTAAGGCAACACGTTTGCCTTCCACAGCAATACTGTTCATTCACCAGCAATTTTGTGTGTACATGTAGCTAAACTCAAAGTAAGAGTAAGTACAGTAAGAAGTGCTTTTAAGTATTTCAATAAGTATCACATTTTAGCACAATAAGTAGATAAAGCAGATGGAAGTGTTTGTATTCAAAGACAGGGGGACTGCTTTATGGCTGGAATTATTTGTTATTCAATGTCAATTTCCTCAATAAATCACTAAAAATGGCTTTGTTGTGCAGCTTTGGTTCTTCTTGAATGTAGTAATTTAACTGAAAAAAAACTGCCATGTTATAGTGTATATAACAGGTCACCACCAACAGTGTCAGCTTAGTGATTCACCACTAGAGGGAGCAGACAGTCAACACAAGACGAAGAGGCGACCACGGTTTTGCTCTCAGTTGGTAAGCTAGTGTTTATTGCAGAGAAGTTTCATGAGGTTGTTACTGGAAGAGTGAGATGTAGGCAACCAGTGTAAAAATCTCACTCTGTAACTGCTTGTTCTTCATAACACAGTGTTCAGTGCAGGAAGGATAAGTTCATAACCAATGTGAATAAAACCTTGTTTTTTATGGAATGAATCATACTTCATATCAAACATTTGATTGACTTTTGCCATTTTGTATGCTCTGCCTCCATCTTGAATCCATTCACTCACAGTGTTATTAGCACTGGCTCTATCTGTGGCCTTTGTAAGCTGACACTGGGTAACAGCTTTGACTGTGGGCACACGTCCATTGCAGAGACAGTGAGCAGATTGGCAGAGGGCCCATCACACACAACTATAATGGCGTACCAGCTGTGGCATCGACTGAGTTACATTCAGGATGGCATGCAATTCTCTGTCCTTCAGCTTCACTTACAATGTCAGGTCTCCCTGTTTAGGACAAACATCTACGTGTCTTCATTTTGTAAGGTCTTTTCACCTCCAATATCAATGTGACTCTGAGTCTGACAGTGACAATTCAATATAAATTCTACCCTTCTTTTCATTCAGGTGCCTTTTTCTGTTACAACATGGAACCTGACATTGCCTTTGTAAGGCAGCAATCTCATTGGCTGAAAATTACAGTGTGCTCCAGAAAACTGATGGAGGTAATTCCACATATAAAATCTCTAAATCTGTAAAGTTTGCAGCAATGAAAATGTGCAATACAACACAGCGGAAATTATTCACTTATAAGGGAAGAAAACTGCAATGCAGGAAAAACATAACTTGACTTAATTAAAATTTCCATCAGTTTATTGGATCTTTATATTGTCTTGAATTCATAAATGACACAATATTAGGACTAAATAAAATATAAGGATTTATATTTTGGTATAGATACTGTGCATTCCCTGTATTCATTTATTTTCAATGTCCTAAATTAGACAAAATGTTGATTTGCGGTATCAATGCAATGAAATTGTCTCTCAATTGAGCTCTTGTGTTTAACAGAGTCCATTGGTTTGAGGTGGTCTTTGATCTAATCTGTTGTTCCATGCTGCTCATTTCACAGCAGTGACATAATGTTACAGTCAAATTATTCCAACTACATATACACATATGCATTAAAGCAGGTGTTAACTGTTTTTTTTTTGTAGGGTCGCAAAGACATTTATGGAGTCCTTCCAAAAAAGGTCAATTGATCACATCTGATGTCTGTGGGGACCTCGTCTGGAGAGTGTAGGAAACAGAGAGGAGTTTGTTTTTCCCCAGTGACCATATTTTTTTACTTGAGACATGTCAGCTGTGTCCAAGACTAGCAAGAATACTCCTCCACGTGCACCCAGCTATCTTCTGTGAGAAATGCAACTCAGCAAAAAAGCTCCTGTTGTTAAATTTCATGGGGAAGGGCACTGAGTGCAACACGCAGCATGTTTCACTGATCAGAGAGCGACACCAGCCTGGCATACCAGGCGTGTTGACAGGGGATAACAGAGGGTTCATCTGAACTGCGATGGATTAGTAACCTGAAACACAGCATCTTTTGCCTCATTCAGAGAAACAGGACTTGGCACGTGGAACAAATTCACAAGTAGAATTTGGTTATCTCGCCTTACCAAGAGGGAGTGAAGGTCACAAGCTGAGGTGCTTCTCATTACAGGCCCAGTTTTTGCTCTTTTGTCTGTAAAGGTCATGACAAAAGAGAAAGATTGACTTAAATTTCATTGAACAAGTGAAATCCAGCTGAGATTACAATTCTTTTATCAAGCTCTGGGCGGTATGACAGGAGCCACAGACAGATGGGGCTGCACATAAAAAAAAGTTAATATAGAGGCAGAATGTAATATAAAGGCAGTGGAAACATTATGAGCACTGACAATAAATGGATTGATCTTGTTGAGAGCTGACAGTTGCTGTAAACACATTTGGTCTCCTGAGGTTTTAGCTGCAGAGTGTCATTTCATGCACATGTTCAGAGAGTGTTTGCCATCTTTGCAAGATAGCATGTTGTTTCCCAAATGATTTTCATTTTATGAATCTGCCGCAGTCTTTCACTTGCTAACACTGCATGCATATAGTAATGTTGTTCTCACAACTAAATATAGTCATTGCATTGACCTGAAATGACTGTATTGTAGGATTGTATACAAAGCAATTGTGCTAATCAGTGCACATTTTCACCCAGTCTGTGCACACAATTAACCCACATCACTGCAAAGTATGACAGCATCTGCTGATAAGAGTTGGACACTATGGGGTCAGGTTTCAGGTGCTGTGTCTACTATCAAAGGCTTTTTAAATTAATTTTACAGAATATATATATTTAATATAAAGTTTAAATAATTAATTCAAATTTCATATTTATACATTATATGAAAACTTGTCTTTTGCAAGTATTTTCAGCTTTAATTGGTTTACCGGCATACAGCTGATGTCATTTTAAACACTTGATGATTGCTTTTCCTGCTTGTTAAGTTTTTATGATACAGTGTAAAATGTAGGCTGCTGGGTCTGAAAGAAAGCTTTCTCAGCAACTGTACTGACCTTGTTTATTCATTATAAATCTAGGTCAAAATCTAATTAAAACCACTGTCATAAAGAAAGCAGGTATAGAAACCCTTTTTGTCTTTGTCATCACTTACATTACCTTCTATTAAAGTGGGTAAATGTAAAGGTCAGATAGAGGCATCTTATAATCATTTTGGTCAGTTGACTGTAAATAATTTGCCAAATGTTATATCAAAAGGAAGAGTAATTCATAAATATTATAAATATGTTGACAGTTGTCAGACCACTTATATATATTTTTCCTTACAAAAATATACTGTTAAACTGCTACAAAGAAACTTCTTGACACTTGAACCCTGCTAAGATTACTTTACCCTATCCCCTACACACCATGGTAAAATGTGTCAAACAGCCTGAATACTTTACTTCTTTACTTACAGGGAATAATACCCTGATTTTTTTTTTTACATGAATTTAAGAGCCTGCAACCACAAAGGCAGTAACACTAGCTAAAGCATGTGACTTTTTTTCTGAGGCATATCTAGTTCTCCCCATGTGACTGGAGCAGAGCTCTCTCTCTCTCTCTCTCTCTCTCTCTCTCTCTCTCTCTCTCTCTCTTTCTCTCTCGTCCACTGGATTCCATTACCCTTTAGCCAGCAGAGCTGCTGGAGGTACGAGGGGCAGATCCAATTACTGGCAGAAGATTTCTGTTGAGACAGTATATGATGAGGGATAAACTGCTGATGAGCTGAACAACTGTGCCCAGTGTTTTACCTGCCAAATGTACACACACACACATGCAGATACACATACAAAAACAGGAAAGATGAGATATTTTGGCTCTAAACCTGGATAAGGGGCTTCCTCCTTCCTCATGTGGAAAGATTTCCAGATAAGATGGGAATTGGCCACAGATGTCTGTTTTTATTTGTTTAAGACTTCCGTGAAGGAAAATGTTTTGCTTATTTTGCTCATAATTGCATCCCTGGAGGAGGTGAAAACCACTCAGAATAGATTTCATCCTTGAATTTCTATTCTTTTACACTTCATTTTGCAGCAGACCCTTGACCCAGGATTGGTACGTGAAGGTTCAAAAGTAATGTGCCTCTGGTTCTGCCTCTTATTTCAAGACCAGTACCATGTTTGAATGTGTTAAATCTGCTTAAAATACTGCCTGTGCCTCAGCTTTAATAATGTAGATTGTCCTTTTCAACATTCCATTTTTTTAAATGGAATAATGGCAACATTTCATGTATGATTTTAGGCGTCTAATCAAAGGTATAAAAATGAAACATGAACTTCAGGATGGTTGCTATGGAAGACTGGATATAATGGATATCTACTGCAATACACACATCATTTTAACAAAAATTAAAAGTAAAACAATTATTTTCTCCGCATTCCACAAGACCTGTATTGTTGCTAAATGGCTGTATGTCCAAAATTTTGCTGACTTGTAAGATGAAATAACTTCAGACCAATTGAAATGTTTCTTTGGCCATCAGCCCACAAAATCCCAAAATATTTAGACCCCCTCTTTGTTATTATTTATGTATATATTTAAGATATTGCAATGCCATTTATGCCTAATTGATGGCACTGAATTTTTTTAATAATACCAAGAGGTAAACCTTATATGATCTGTGTGTTAGTCCACATTCTTAGTTTAGTTTTGGTTACCTCGATGGTGAGTACATTACAAAATATGACTAATTTCTTGCCCAACATGTGGATAAAGCATTAAATAAAGGTTGATGTGGATTAATTCCACACAATCCCTTTTCCAAACCAAATGCTAAACTTCCCTTCAACCAGGCTGCAGCCAGCATGTTCCCTCTTCCATGTAGCAACACAAATATACTCTCCATGTATTGGTCAATCATTTAATTTAAACACCATTTGGTAGCCAACCAAGGAAGAGCTGTGACTACGTCGAGAGGTGTGCTCTGATTGGTCAAACCCTCGGGTCAGCTGAGTGGGAGGAAGGTATAAGTATCCCTCAGAAGTTTTTCTGATGCAGTGTGTTTGTGTGTTTGTGTGTGTGTTGGTGTGGGAGGAGAGAAACGGCGCGCGTGTGTGAATTTATTTATGAGAAACCGTCTAAACTAATATTTTTGCACTAAATAATATTTAAGGTAAGTCATTCAATATTCAGAGCTAATGTCTGTCAGCTAGAAATAAGCAGCCAAAGTAGTTAGGTTGAGTTTTGTGGGGGTGGGTAAGTCTAATGTCCTAATGGCTGCATATTGACACTTTGAAGCGTTTACATCCTTAATGAGCCACCTGTCTCTTATTGAGCTCAAACAATCCGCCTCGGCCGTTGCTCTGACGCTGCTACGTCATTTTTCAGGGAGCTTTGCTAAAACCACAGGAAAACAGCCCGCTCCCGGAGAAAACAAGACCGTCACCATGGTTGCCACAAGCACATTAAAGACCAAAAGCAACGAGTGTATTTCGGATTTGGTTGACCGAAGATATGACCAGGCTTGCATTGAGAAAGGTACGCTTACTGGCTTTTTCTGTGTTTTTTCTTTTTTGTCTGTATAGCTAACACGCTAGTTGCTGGATACTTCCAGTTGTGTACTTGTTTATCCCTGTGTGGTGCATGGCTGCAGCAGTGGAGGGGAGGGGGGCGGGGAGAGGGAAGTCAACAGAGGATGAAGTCATCCCTTTAGCCTGTCTGCACAACAGCCACATGCGTACAATAGCAAATCTTACAGCTTCTTTCTCTGCCCAAAGCTAAATCATTCTATGGCCAAACCTGTATTGTGATTGGTTTTATGCCTGTCTGAAGGTTTTGGACATTTCAGCAGTCTGACGTTTCTGTCTTTGTCTTGTGTGAAAGGTTTGACACACATCCATACACAGAAACCACAAGGGATGCAAAATCAGACAAATTCCCTCAACTACTAATGCATTTGTAGTTTAAAACTGGCCAAAATTGACACAAATGCATTATTAAATGACTTTTGCATGCTGACATCTTGAAATAGCCATTTATTGCCCTGCAGTTGGGTTGTTTATTCAAGTAAGGAAGCTGGCATTGTTTCTTAAGGTGAATGATTTGCATTCTTTTCTCAGAACTGGATTTCTGGGATTACTGTTTGGCTGAGCCCCAGAGGAATGCAGATGTGGCTGAGGACAGAACCTGTCAACAGCTGGCCAAGATGTTTGAAAACTGCCTGTCTCGAGCCAAGAAGACAACGCTGCACTGCTCCTCTGTGCTGGTACCAGAGAAGCTAACACGGAGAATAGCTCGTGAAGTCCTGAGGCTGGCATCTTGTGAGCCCTGTGGCCTACGGGGCTGCGTCCTCTATGTCCACCTGGAGCTGGACAAGGGCTGCAAGCGGCTCGAACGCATCGTCTATGATGCCACAGTAGTGCCCACATTTGAGTTGACTCTTGTGTTCAAGCAGGATGGTACCGCCTGGCCCAGCCTTCGGGACTTCTTCTTTATGGGTACCTGCTTTGCCCCAACTTTTAGGCACGTACTTAAACTGAGTCCAGGTTTCCGGCTCGTCAAGAAAAAACTGTACTCCTCCTCGGCTGGTACCGTGGTAGAGGAGTGCTGAACTATGGAAGGGATTAGTGGGATATTGGGTTTCCTGTGGGTAAATGCACTTCTGCCCAAATGTAAATGACACTTCAGTGGTGTCATATTTTCTACAGTGTTTTTGTACAATCTGGTTTGTCAGTTCAGTTATTGGTAGCCAGTCAGTCCAGTTTGGAACTTGGATTTAAATTTCAAAGTTTGTGCATAAATGAGCCTGATAGTTCTAGATTTGGCTTCAGTGTTTCTAAAAGTGCATTTTTATCAGCAAAATTGTAATATCTATCTTTTTTCTTTTTTTTTTTCTAATAAGAGCATTTAATACTCAAAAACAAATTTTAAATTGTACATTTTGCAGTTGAATGTAAAACTATGTTCACATCAACATGTTTGAGAGGGACATACTGTGGGTACACTTTTGTTAAAGACACTAGCCACTTTGTTGATGCATCTGCGTGTTTCCAGATACATTGAATGTGTTCAACAGTAAACACACCTAGGCTTGAATAGGAGACAGAAATATAGTCTTTGGGGGCCATATGTAGCTATTTGTTCAGTGCTGTATATAGGGCTACAGATGTTTTTAAGACTGAATGTTTTGTGAAGATGCTGCTGTCTTAGTGTGGGCTCCTCACACTAGGAATGTGGATGCCTTAAATGTCAGAAATTTATTTTTTTGTTTTGTTTTTTTCACTCAGATCACAGCTAGGCCTATGTGTGTGTTTAGTGTAACTGTTTTATTGCATTTTTATTATTTTTATACCCCTTCCCCAGACACACCTTTTCAATGCAGAGCCTTTATAGATTATTAAAAGGATGGTTCACCAAAATGTTAATGCTTTGTTTTTATGTGTTTTGTTAACTGGGCTGGGCAAAGAAATTACTGGATGTCCAGCTAGATTTTTTTTTTTTTTTTTTTTTTTTTTTTTTTTTTTTTTTTTTTTTCTTTTTTTCTTTTCATGAATTCAATTTTTCACACTTTTTTTTTGGTTGCCATTTGAACTTCTTGTTGAAGGAAAGGTCTTGTCTACTTGACAATAAAAGATTTAAACCATAGTTTTTAGATTTTTAGACTTGATTCTGTTTATGCTATTCAGTCTGAATAATTGTTTGTTCAGCACCCACAGATCATTACTGTACATTTTCTGGAGCCGTGACCAAGCCGGCTGGAGTGGGCAGGCAACAGTGGGACAATGCAGGCTTTTTAAAGAGGACAAAAGGCACAACAAGATCTCTTGAAGAATGTGATGATCATTATGCATGACTAGTATGACAAAAGCGTGGACGTCATGACAGCCACCAGCACTTGCTGTAGAACACTTAATATGCAACTGTAATGTTGGTTAATTGGCAGAACTAATTCATAGAAACTACCAAACTCTGGTAATAACTTTAAAATTCCCCGCTATAGCATTTAGTCTAGAGTAGGAAAATACAATAAAGACCCAATTAAGTATGATTCAATTACTGCTCTTGCCACAGTTATTTGAGGTCATTTCCTTGCCATGATCATGCATACAGTAAGTAGCAGCTTCTGTACACACACTGCTGTAGCTGTTTATATAAGCACATCAGCTGCTTGTGTGAACCTGCAGAGTTTGTGTGACATTTCTCTCACTCTCTTTAATGGAGGTGTCTCCATAGTGATTTTGAAGGTCTCTTGTTTGTGAGACTTAGAAATTAGAGTCTGCTGAATCAAGGACTTTGACACTTGTGTGCGACATTTGTAGTAATGACATTTGTACTCAAGGTTTTTTTTCTGCATTTCAGCCTCTCATAGTTAAGGCTAAAGTAAATGGCCCAGTGACACAATACTGAACTACTTTGTTGATTGTATAAAAGTTTTACCAATTACAGTCCGTCATTCTTGCACAGACAAGTGAACAGGCTGACATGGTTACAAGAGATTAATGACAGAAGCACATGATCTTGTGCAAGATGCATCACTGTCATTGTGAAGGGACAAAGCACCAGTGATCATTTACCCAGTGTCACACATACGCGGCCTCGCCTGATCCCTTTGCTTTGCTGTGCTAAAGTGGGTCAGCAATACAAGTTTGCATTGTTGAGCTCATAAAACATATAAACACTATGAACATCTGTCTGCGCAGACTCACTGGTTAACCCTACTACTACTGTAGACTTTACTGAATATCAAAAAATGTGTTGTATGAAATGCATGCAACATTTACCATATTTAACATTCTGATATATAACATATTGAACTTAACTTAGTAAGAGAATAGTAAGAATTTCTATCCCATAATATTTAGTTTACCTAAATTTTGTCATGTTTCTTGCATGCTTATTCTTTATGCAGTGTATTTTAAAATACTTTGCCATAAAGAATTGTTTTATTAAGTAGCAATGACAAAATGACTACACAAGGGGCTTGACATTTTGGGGGAAAAGCTAATTTGCTTCATAGTCAGTTGATACCAATCTCATATCTTTCCTTTAAGCTGGAGCCAGAAGATGACTAGCTTAGCTTTGTGTATAGACTTTAAAAAAAAAGGAAGCAGGAAAGCAACTATCTTGGTAATATATGCAAAAAATATTGTAAAAACAAGTTGCATTTTTAAGGAGAGGGCAGTTTAACAGACATTTTTTCCTCATGAGCAGCAACCTCTTGAGTGTTGTTGTCACTGTTGGGTTGCCAGGAAATCCATGTAGATACAAGGAAGTCACCGCTTCTACCCAAGGTATTATCAGGCACAAAACCCCCTATAAAACTGCAACTTTTTGTTTTATGCTTATGTTTTGTGTGTTTCAAGCAAAAAAAGATGTTATGGGTAGGGTGGATTTTTTTCACCTTTGGACACACCCAGGCTAGCTGTTTTCACTTTATGCTAAGTTAAGCTAACCAACTGCTGCTTATACCTTTGCATTTAATGGAGAGACATTAGAGTGGTATCAATCTTCTCATCTAACTCTTGGCAAGAAAGAGAACAAGAATATTTTCCAAAATGTTAAACTGCTCCTTTAAAAAACAGTACTTCACTAGTTTGCCTAAAATTCCAATTTAATCCATCCTACTACACCTTATTGGGGTCTTTCTCAATGAGCACCTTTGAAATGTGACATTTACAGTATTACATCCTTGGTTTATGCTGTATGTCCAAAGAAAGGCAGGGACAGCAAATGTTCCTACCGACGGTCAGACCAACATAATTAATATAGCCTCAAGCCTCATGGAAAAGTACTGAAGGCCTTTTCACACTGTGGCAACCAAAAGAATCTGAGATGCACTGTACTGGCTTGGCAGCTCATTCACTGAAGCTCATGAGTCTATTGGAGGTACTTGAGATCCTCAGTGTCAACATGATTCATCTGAACCCCTCACAGTATGGGGTTTCAATGACAGTCCCATGTTTGGGATCATGTCCCACACCTGCAGAGTCAATCACATTGATCAGACTGGTCTAAACAGCACATACTGGAGCCTTGACAGCTGACAGATGTTTACCAGCTCTGAGTTGCCTCGGCATCTCCACGGGGCATCCGAGTCACTAGATAAGCCTGTTTGTTCCAGAGAGACGCGCTGGACTTGATTTCATGTTTCCTCCTGACCCACAGAACAACCTCTTTCTGGGAAGATGGAAATCTGATGAACTTGGCCAAAGGGTGCAAGCATGTCACACTGTGACTAGGTTTAGTTTGTGATCTAGATTTGTTTATCTCTTTCCTGTTAGATATTTTTGCTCTGCATTATCATCTTTTCTTTATGTTAATTTACAAGATATTCCCAATTGTTTGTGCAATTTGTGTATCTAACTTTTAAATATCTATATAGCATAGTGTATCCCTAAAAAAAAGGTAGATCCTTGTTTAATCATTCACTAGCCCCTCTTGGCAATAGGAAGAAAATAGGGACTGATTTTGGTCAGTCTATTACTATACCAGCTGTCCTGTGAGACTGTTAATGATCATTTACACCGGAAAAGAAAAAGGTGGCCAAAAGTGTAAGATTTTGCTTGATGGAGGTATCATATGAAAGGCCTCATTATTACCTAACCAGATAGTGTTAATCTGAAATACTGACTCAATGTGACCTAATTTCATATTCTGTTAGATATGGTTGGTTGTGTAACAAATCAAAACACTGACTTCCAAAAAGCAGAGAATGAGATCTCCATCCAGAGAAAGTTGGACTCATTAAATGGTCAGGTTGGTAAACATGAGCTTGCTGTTTGCTCTTTACTGACGTTGCATCAGATGGCTTCGGCGAATTGAAATTCAAATCTTTCCTACACTTGCCTCTTGCTGCCATTGGAGCTGGCAGCATGCAAATCTACTTTGCATTGCCAAGCAGCACTTTAACACCTGAGTATTGAGGGCAATCTGACAAAACACAGTCTGACGGACAGTGCCAACATTATATTACTGCAGTTATCATTAATCCAACACAAGAACACAAACAAATTGTAAGATATTGTAGCATTTTATTAAAGTTTAATTATTTTTTTGAATGTTTGAATATGTTAGCATGCTTACACACCAAACTAAAGCAATGAACATGGTAAATATACTAACTAAATATCAGCATGTTAGCATTGTCATTGAGCATGTAAGCTTACTTATGTTAGCATTTAGCTTACAGCACTGCTGTGCCTAAATACGGCCTCACAGGGCAGCAGGCATGACTGTAGGCTCTTAGTCTTGTTAAGTGTGCTTAGCACTTAGCTTAGTACTTTCTTTTTCTAATATAATATGGATCCACGTCCTTTGGTAACAAATGTCTGGCGTGAAATGTGCATCCTGCTAGCATACCCTCCTAGCCATGCAGAATGACCAGAAAAACAACTGTAGCTTATGATGTAACACAAAAGAATAGCCCTGCAGCGTTACTGAAAATGTTCATTTTACTGTTAAGACGAATAATACCAGTTTGTATGTTGACATCCAGAGGCTTTTCAGCACTATGTTGGTGTTGATTTGGACCACATCATATTGACATGTTTCTAGCATAATATTTCCTCCACCTTGTTTGCATATATGCAGGTACAGGATCAACATATTAAGAAACATTTTACAGTATAGTACAGTCCAGTTCAACAACATGGACATGAGTCTCAAAAATCCCCATACAGATGAATCAACACATCTCTGACAGGGTGTCAACAGCAGTTCAGAATATTACTTTTTACATGGATAGTATTTAATTACAGAACTGATTTGTTGGATTTTTCTGGTTATTTCATGATCTTTCCTCTGGCTGAGTGTCCATAAAAATCACTTCAACACATTATATGATGCTTTATGTGCTGCTGAACAGATTGATATTTGAAAGACCACCCATCATCTAAATACAGTGTTAAGTCGTTTGTAAGCACATGATTTAAAACTGATTGCTGCATGTGGTCACAGATACCTCAAGGTACTGAGTGTAACAGAATGTAAAGTGCAGGTATAGTGCCTTGGCAATAACACAGTGTCTTATGTTCTTTGCCATTTTAGTCAAGTATGTTTTGACTTCCACTTTTGGTTTTACATGTAATGTTGAGAACTTCTTGCTCTGATCAGATTACATTAACTTGAGTAAGTGTGAGTAGCAAGTGGATGAAGAAACAAAATAGCCCTAACAGGCACATGACACACATGTTTAAGAGCAGTTTATTCCTAAAAAAAAATATGGATATTTTGAGATGTTGCTATGCTATTTGCAGCAGTGTGGATGGAGTGTTATTTAAGTGTCACTACAGTGTTTATCTGGCGTGTGTGTGACCTTGCTAGGACGCTGTCCTGGAAGGTTTGGACCTGACAACTCCTCCATAACTAATGCACTGCTGGCATCGAGCGTAGATTTCTCTGGCATCTGACAAGTGGGTGTTGTCTCACTTTTGACCTTTTATGGTGGAAGTAGGTCATTGCCTGGGTGAAATCACCTTCATGACAATGGTCCCCTTGCATTGATAATACTTCTCCAATGGGATTTACTGGAAATTTGTGCCAAACCATGATTTTGATGCAGAGATGTGGTGCATGAGAATCTTTAAAGTAAGCTCTGATGAGTAGAGCAAGAATCATTCCTTTGTTATTGAGTCACTGTTAACAGAGACCCAGTGTATGTACTGTTATGAGTCATTCATTTTTAAATGGATCATCTTTTCTGGCTCAAACATACCTCATTGAGATTGCACAGCTCCGCATAGCCCAAATAAGCTTCTATGAGTGCATAAATGTATATGCCCAGACAAATCCCTCAGGAAAAGATAAAATAAACAGCCAGTTTGACCTCTGGGAATGGTCAAGAATAATCTCTGGTGTCAATCTTGCTGATCGTTTCTCTTGAAATTTCGGCTGAATTGGATAGAAACTCATAAAGTAAAACAGGAAATGCCTTAGTTCAGTGTTTAATGTTAATTTATCATGTTTTTCTTGTTCATTCTTTTTCAATAACATGTTTAATTCAGCAATTATGAAAACAGCTGACAAAAAAGATAACGATTCTGTGGAAGCCTTCAGTTTTTCACCCTGTTTTTGAAATGTGAAATTATATGACAAATTGAATACAAACAGGAAACAAAAAGAACATGTATATTTTATTTTCTTTACAATTTATTCACAAAAATAGCAACTATGCAAGGCCTATTTGACTATTTTACTTGAAACAGCCAATGAGATTGTCTGTTCCATTTAAAAATCTGAACTGTAATTGCAAGCCTAATGAAAAAAAACATACAAATTATCATTATTAAGAATTGTTGTTGCTCATTTAATTGTTGCCTGAGTGTGTAGGAGTGGTGGGGTGACCATGAACCCTTTATCACTTCACTCTTCATTATCATTAATTTAATACACTATCTTAATTTTATTCCACTTCAGTATTCACCTGACTAATATTCAGAAGCTCCCTTTCTTTAAATAAAACCTGGCCAAGGTTAAATACTCTTTGCTGTATTGTCTGCATTGTGGTTCAAAATAGATCTGTATTCTACTCTTTATTCATGTGGTATAATGAATTAGAATTAAACTTTTCTTATTTGTATTGCTCTAATTTAACCTTTTTCTTGTTACTTGGATTCATCTGGTGGAAAATGGTTTCATCAGTCATTATACAGATGGCACGACACCAAAGTGTATGTGTTCCAGATTCCTATCCTTGGGATGTTTTGGGTCATTTTTCAGGGGTTATGGCACTGAAAACAAACCAGATGTCTTTCATAATCTCAGACACAGTTGTGGCTTTATTCAATGACATGACCAAGAGGAATTATTGCTCATAACTGCTACTATTAAACGTAGTTTTTAATTTTTAGATACCAGATGGTGTCAACTGTTGGATTACTTTCTTATGGAATGGCTGCATTGTCTTCTATTATAATTACAGACAATATACTATTTATATAATAGGGAAACAGTGTAAACTATTACCATAATTTGGGGATTAAAGCTTTGACCTCGGAGGTTTTGAGTCCCCCAGCCCAGGGGATCCTACTGCCATCTGGTGGAGAAAAGGAATGAAAACAACATTTGACTGAACGTCACCTACAAAAAATGATTTCCATCTAAACAAAAAATATTTAGCGGTTGATAATAGTTGGTAAGACTGTACTAATACTTAATATGTTATGATAATATGATATTTATATGCAGGTGTTCTCTTTTTTATTGCATGTCAAACATTGAAACCAAAATGTGTGGTTAGTCCTGCTTTTGTTTTGAAAGTTTACAGGAAGAGTCACTTTGTTGTACTTGACTCTAGTGTTCTTGCAGTTGCTAGGGGCAACACAAGCAGCTGGCGACGCTGTCAGGAAAAGTTGGGAATAATTTGTAGTTTTTAACAAATTATATTTTTGCTTTGATAACTGTAAGACTGTTTTTGCGGGCTGTGCTCTTTTTGATGTTTGTGAGTAGAAATGCCTCCAAAAGCAGCTAAAAAGGGCTCAGCAAAGAAGACTAACGCAGCTGGAGCCGCAGTTGTCAACAAGAACTGGGAGACTGGTCTCACTAAAGCACAGTTTGAAGAGGTTTGTTATCTCACTGAACTCTTTCTTTGCTTTAACCTATCATGTGCTCAAACATTTCTTTATTATCACACAAAGTGAAACTAAGATAGCACTTGTACAGTTCTTATTAAAAGGACTACACATGGTACGTTGTCAGTGTTGCTAGCAGGTTGCTAGCCACAATCTCTGTTATAATGTTACCTGCGTTTTTACCTAGCGATAGAAGAAATATGGGACTCAGAAATTATGTGTTATCTTCAAAACTGTTCCTTGAGACGACTTCAGTGACATTTATCAGGTCACTGAATAATTTGGTGGAAACTGCGCTAAACATACTTCCTACGACATTTGCACAGCACAAGCGTAAAAAGATAGCAACGCTAAAAATTTGAACTTTTATTTTGAAGGTGAGATGTCAAACCCGGATGTTTAGGTTATGTGTTGTTTCTGAGGTTATTTTCAGGCACTTCTGTCGAGCAAAACTTTGTTTAGTAGTCCTGCTAGTGCCGCTTTTGCACGCTCCAGCATTATGACAGTGTTTCTGTGAGTAACGTTTAGCTTTCTTCTGTTAGTAGCCATGTGATGTACGCTGTCCTTGAAATGTTTGTTTTGTCAGCGTAAATCCACCTGTTGATTAACTGTAAGGCAAATAGACAGAAGTGAAACCATGTCACCTCTAGCTGTTGACTTGGATGGTGTGCGTGTATTTTCTTATGTTGTGTCGTATTGTCCTGACGCCTTTTCCAGGACTCTTGGCAGGCCTGTGTGTCTTTGGTGGTTGGGAAAAGTCAAGAAGATGAGGAGCTGGTCCAGGCTCTGGTTTTGGCCGTGCAGCAACCTCAACGCAAACTTTTCAGCCTGTTGACCTGGGACAGCACCCTTAGAAAGGTACTCTATGTTCAATATGTAAAAAATTCTTTTTTATTAATAGCGTCTCCTATGTTACTGCAGAGCTGTTTTTGTTTTTTATATTTTTCCTTCCCCTGGGCCAATGCAGTGATTAGTTCAAAGTTACACAATTACATGTTTCTATTAAATCTCAGCTTTTCAACTTCTCACTGTGCTAACCACAACATGATTGGCTAATGAAATTGATACTCTGAGTATTATTTTATCATCAACTGATCTACCTAATGAGATACCAAAAAATGTAACTCTAATACCTTGTATTTTATTAGTTCAAAACTTTCTCTTTTGTTACAGATCCATGAATTGGGGAATCCCAAAGCAAAAAAACCTGATGATGTTCCCACGTTCTATGAGGTAGGCTTGGGATGTCTGAGAGGAGTAAATTCATATAATATAGTAGAGAATTAATATTTTAATATGTTGTACGCCAGTGTACTGCTGTCTGAAAAGAAACTGAAAAGAAGTGTGTATGCTCTTAAGTTTGTGTGTGCACATCCTGTATGTGTGCATGTTTGTGTGTTGGCATTGCTCTTTTGTGTTTGTGTCTTATTTTTTGTATGTGTAGGTTATGGAGCCTGCTAAGGTGCTGCTGGATGCAGGAGAGGAGATTCCCTGTGACCTAATGTCAAAAATACTGAAGTTCCAGCTGCTTCAGATCAAAGCCAATGATCAGCAGAGGAGGGAAGCCGAGCAGGTGACTGTTTCTTCATATATGTGATTCTAGGCTTAAATAATTTAGTAACAGTCTTGAACTGGCTTTGAAGAATTAGTTGGCAAAAACCTTTTACTCAGAATAGTACAGATTATGATGTGATTTTTGTTCAACAGTGAAAGAGTTAATTTCATTTTTGTCCACTTCTGTTTTAGGATGTGGAAAAGAAGGCAAAGGCCGGGACTGTCTCTGCCAGCAAGGACAAAGGAGCAGCCAAGGTTTCTGACAAAAAGGGAAAGAGTCCGCCCTCACCTGAGGGACCTTCCCAGGAGAAGAAGACCAAACTCAAACGCAGGGATGATGTTGAGCCGCCTAAATTCATAGGTAAAAATTCAAATTAAAACCAATTGTGCAAATAATACATACAAACACTGTTAATTAACTATAGCAGAGTAATGAAAGACATATTTTATATATTTTTAATGTGTAAAGAATAATAAGAAAATGTATATACAAGAGGTCTTTGGCTACCACTTGCTTTTACAATATGTGTATAGAATCGTAGTGTTTGTGCATTACAGAGAGGCTGGACATTGACTAATGTACTTTTAATACACTTTTGTGTTTTGTGTTTCTTTGTGTGTGGGCACAGATGATGAGCCTGATGATGGTCCTCAACACTACATTCTGGTGCTGGGCTTCTACCAGCCCTACCTGATTGTGGCCCTTAATGCCATAGGTGTACATGTAGCTAATGTCATCGAATTGTGTTCAGAGCACAAACAAACTAGTGAAGTGCAGCAGGAACAACACACCTCTGAGGGCAATGAGCTGAGCCAGAGAACATCTCCAGTTTTGGATGCAGGTAAATTGCCTTGAGTATCTGTGTATGTATCTCTATCTTTACAAATTGAATGAGGTATAATGCGTAATAGCTTTTACATGGTTTCAAACATTTGCTGAATAAATTCAATCAACAAATCACAGACTCAGCCAGTGTGGAGCAGGCTGTACGGGCCACAAAGTTGAATCTGTTCTGGTCAGGTCTGAGACCAGTTTTGGACAGCATGCCACTGGACTCCAACCTCCACAATGTGGCTCAGCTCAGCTACACTGTCCCAGATCTCTTACCTTCCTTCCACCCACAGGACCCTGGGGCTTTGGTGAGATATGTGTTTCATAGATGTGTTCTCAATGTTTTTTTTCTTTTATAAAATACTGAATATTGTCATTTTTTCTGCATTTTGTATGTTTTGTCTCACTTTTTGCTATTCAGTCAGTTTCACATTGCCGTTGATTTGATTTTAATTTTTAATTTTTTTCCTTATCTGTGTGTGGGTTTACTGACTGTCTAGCTGCAGTTGGGAAGCCGAATCTTTGAGGGTGTTGCCAGTCTCATCTATGACTGTTTGGACTGGCGCAGGCAGCATCAGCACTACCTAGACAACATCAAACTCTTCAGTGTACCCACTGTTGTTGGGTTGGATTCTCAGCCCAAAGAGGTACACATATACACACATGCATGTCAGTCAGCATAGCTACATGACAGGGCTGCAACTACTGATTATTTTCATTATTAATTTTAAGATTATTTTCTCGGTTCATAAACTAATTTTTTAGTCTGTAAAATAAAATTAAAATGTTGTATGTCAGGTTATGCAGTCCCTCAGCAAAATTGATATTTTCAAATGTCTAAATAGTCTAAAACTCAAAAACATTCAGGTTCTTTGGTAAAACTTTGATATAGCAGAGGATGGTTTCGATCCATCGACCTCTGGGTTATGGGCCCAGCACGCTTCCGCTGCGCCACTCTGCTACACACCCCAGATGGGACTCGAACCCACAATCCCTGGCTTAGGAGGCCAGTGCCTTATCCATTAGGCCACTGGGGCACTGTACATAAGGCAGTGTTCAGTGGTAGTAGACTCAAGGTAATGAAGCACAAACAAATTTTCAGTGAAAATGAAATGCAGTAATTACCATTCCATCTGAAATCGTTTTTTTTCAGTCAGCCGTATATGAAAGTGTGTAAGTCTGAAATACAGCTACTTGTACAAACCATTCCTGGGCTACATATCATATTCTCCAAGTTCACTGCAGTAGCAAAAGCTGCTGAATACATGTGGACCTAGCAGCTTTGTCCAGCGTGGCCATCATAGTGATTACAATACAGTACCATCAGCTGTCCTACAACATATGCTGAGACCAAATGATATTTATAACCTGCCCAGTGAGCCGTCATCTGTCAGCTGGATACTAGGTGCATAGTTTTAATATTTCAAAACTTTGTACTTTGTGTGTTCTTATGAGTTTTTCTTTCCAGGTTGCACCGACCCCTCTCCCCATGACTCCACGCTCCAAGAAGAAGTCAGTGCGGGAGGAAAGTCCCCCAGACCACGGTAAAACCTGTCTCCTCCCTTTCCTCTCCTCCTCATGTATTTTTGGCATATGCTTGTGAGTGTGTGTTTGAATTAAAAACTCAGAGTAGGATAACAATCTAACCTTCTTTCTTTTTTATCCTCTCTTCTTTATGGACAGAGACAGAGCTGCCTCCTCTTTCTACAGATGTGGACATGCGTTACTATGACAACTTGCTGAACCTGGTTCCACCTGAAGCTTGCTCGGTGCCCCTTATCTTGCACTGTATGCTAGAGCAGGTCTGTTTGTACATGTACACGTGTGTGTCTGTTGTCAGTGTGAATGCTAAGTATGTGGCCAGAGCAAGACTTACAAGGTTTAAAATTTTCCCTCATTACTTGTATGAGAGGTCAGTGTTTCTGTGGCTGATATAATTGTGGACTAAATACATTGATTTAAATAGCATTTTCTCAGACATTATGTCAAAGAAGGGAATGGAATATTCTTCTCTGTTGCAGCCTGTTACAATCCTGAATAGTGTATTTGTGGTTTAACCCAATTTTTTCCCATATCTGTGTATTTGTGTCTCTAGGTGGTGATTTCCACAGAACAGTCTGTCTCCACGCAGTCCCATGTGGCTGAGAAGCCCAAACCTCATGATGGTCCCTGGTTAGACTGTCGGCTTGTCAGCTACATGCTGCAGAGCTTCCTGCCTCTGGTGCACACAAAAGAAGAGAGAAGCCACATGTTAAATAACTTGCTGACTATAGTACAGAATGAGGAAGACAAGAAGGTACAGTGGCCATAACGCCAAACTACACACACACACACCCTGAGAAATTAATAGTTCTACATATGCTGTGTTTAAACCAACAGGACTGAAAGCCACAAGATAAAAAATGTTTCAGGTTTCATTGTTTGCACAGAAAAATTACAAAAATTCATATGTCAGTGAATGCTGTACATGCAGCATTGGTGGTTCAGTGGTAGAATTCTCGCCTGCCACGCGGGAGGCCCGGGTTCGATTCCCGGCCAATGCAGCACACTCATTTTAGGCAGGAGGAACCTGCAGATCACTGTCAAGAAACAAGTGGCTTGTGTTTCAGGGGGTAGGGCCTGTCGCAAGCACGAGGGCCATGACAGCCAACCCCCACCAGCTCCTCCGTCACGCAAGGAGGGCTGTCATTGCAGCACACCCGGAGAAGGGAGGCAGAGATGTGAAATGGGAGGGGGAAGAGGGAAACACCGTTCTTGTAGAGCAGAAGGAAAGCGTAGGAGAGGAAAACATTCATTTGCTGTTTTTGACAACAATACAGACAACATAAGTCCAGCAGATGGTGCTTTAATCTCGTGCACAGCACAATCGCACAGTGCTACAAAATGTGGCTTTTTCTGATCTTCTTTACATTGTTCTTACAACATTGAGTGTATAATGACAGAAACTGGATTCACAGGTAAAAGTTACATTGTATATTTTACTTTCTTCAGTTTGTCTACCCAAGAGAGACAATCTGTGGTTTCCAAACCCAGATATGGAATCATGGTGTGTGAGAATTACTTTATCATTGTAAATGTAAACTCAATAAGGATTTCCCCTCTTACTCCTGGTTTTTCAGATGCACTCTGCACAGAATGAAATAATTTGCTAATTTGTTTCAGTTTTATTCCCTTTTGTCTTAGAGGCTAGTAGAGAAGTTTGAAGCAGAGGAGACTCAGAAGAAGTCGCAGCACCCTTTGGTTATCAGACACCACAATGAGAGGGCACTGCGCTTGAGGGACATCAGTGTAAGTGCATTTTTTTGTTTACAATTGTGTAAATTTGATTGACATAGTTAGTAGATAGTTTTTCATCTTTGATCCAGAAAAGTATTTATATATTGTGTGTTTGTGTGTACATGACTTACTTATAGGCTGTTCAGGGTTTTGATCCAGCAGAGGTGGAGTTGTCCATGATGAAGCTGTCTCCAGTGTGGGAGCTAATCCATTCTGCAGCTCATCTGAGAAAGAGCTACACCTGCTGGATGGCAGTCAAACAGCAGCTGCAACACTACTGCACAGATGGTCAGGGTCAGAAACTGTGAGAGGCACCCACCTCAATACAGTATACCCATTGCTGATGATTATTAATTTGTAGCTGTGTTCCTGAGTTTTTGGAAGCACAATGTAATGTTTTTCGACTGTATTAATCCAAAGAATTACCTACATGAAGATGTTAGTCAGTCTCAGTTTTTTGGGAAAAGCTCTTTTGGTTGATTGGTCACATTGCAAATGAGGTTATAATTTGATGATATCCTACAGATGCTGTGTCATGGCCTGAAGTGGAGCGTCTCTTTCATCAGAGTGTGTTTGAGACTATGCCACTGACCAGGCTGGACCAAAAGGGTGTACTACTGAATGCTGCAGGACCACAGGGATCACTGGTACAAGCACAGCAGCAGACAGCCACAATAATCCCCTGGGACGACCCACTATCCTACGCTAAACAGCAGCTTCATGACCTACGGGCAAAAGGTCTGTTACCTTTGTTGGTTAACTCAGTTATAGTGATTTTGTAATGTTGTACAAACTGTACATTACAAAGTACAACTGACTTAAGAAACCTGATTGCCATAATATCTCTCAGTTGTATGTGTTACACTTTTCAACTTTATTGCCATGCTTCATCATTTATTTCTACTATAGGTCCTACATTTCTTACTGAGGACCCTGGTAACACAGAGGTATTATTTATATATTCTTATTAATGCAGCTTCTTACATTTTTGAAAGCTTTAATAAAAAAATGTGCATTTGCTCTGATTTTCCTCCCGAAAATGTTGCATGTTGTTTTTGCTCCAGCAGTTCAGTGGGAGAGTGTGTAACCACCTGGACCTATCTGACATTCAGAGTTGTAGGCTGAGATCTCTGTTTGACTGGCATTATGCTGAACACCACGATGCTTCCATCTTCCCACAGGTGATCTTCTTTACCTTGTCTTTGTCAGCATGAGGAAACAGTTGTACCTGCCATGTGTGTTGCCTACCCTATTTGTGTTGCTAAATATGCTAATTGTGTTACCTAGTCGAATCTAATTAAAATGCATCAGATCAGACATATGGCAGTTACTAGATGTTAAACGCTAAGTTCTCTTTGGTCTTTAATGTGAAATGCTGCAGGAAGAGTTAAGTTAAGTGCAGGACTTAATTATAGAGGAAACAACACACACTTAAGGTTATACACAGCAGCAGCAACTTTTGTGTTTGAAGTCAGAAAATTTGACTTATTTTAGCTAAAAAACATTATTATTTGGACTGAAACCTTTTTTACATTTTTACAATTTTACTTGTATTCAGATTTTCCTTTTTTACATTTTTTATACATAGGTCCTCCATTTAGCCTCAGAAGAATATCGCTGCTTGGACACCTTCAGAGGAAGCCATAGCTGCATCCTCTATATTTTTTGCCACAATCCCAGGAGTCCCCAACGCCAGAGCAAGGAGTTCTGGGATGTAGCCCTTCACACTGATGTCAAGTTCAGGTCAGAATGCAAGTTCTCATTGTCAGGGGTTTTGTTCTCACAGGACATCAATAGTACTGTGTTTCTTTTTTTTTGTGAGAATGCAGAACAACAAACAGACTCTTTTCATCAGTCAGTATCTTGACCTCTATAGCTTGACTAGTGGAAGATTGCCTATGTGGAGTGTTACAAACTTTAAAACACTGTTGTTTTGATAGGAAGTATCTGGAGCATGTTGCCGATATGATTGTAGATTGGACAAGAGAGGAGGAATTAAAGAGAGAGGCAATGCAACTCAGAAATCTCAGCTGTGCTAAGTCTCCAAAAGGTACTGTAGCTTTCAACATAAGACTGTGGCATTAAGACTGCACTTACCACCATACAAATATAATGTTTGTAATGTCTTCCTGAACTAGATGAACAAACTACAGATTCTGCAGTGGGGAAGGACACTTTGGAGCCGGTCATCAGGAACGACTCCCTTAAGGTCAGCGCTATCTAACGCATGAATGCCTGTTAATGAGGAAGCTGTGATCATGTTTTTACTGCCAAACTAGATAACTTATCACATTAAAGTAGGATTTAAAGATTTGGTTTCCTTCCCTTGTTTGCCTCCATTAATGATCACAGACGCTTGAAATATTGGATTTTTTTTAGACATGTTAACATCTACGGTTCAGTAGTCAAAAGTCTTGGAAATATGAAATATGAAAATAAAATGACTAAAATATGGTCAGTGCACCAGATTGACCCAATTCAAAATCAGCCTTAACATCATTGCATTTATGCAGACTATCTCAAGAGTCATTATTTTCTCTCTGAACATATTTAGATTATTTATTATCTACCAAAAATAGAAGAGGGGCAGACTGATCTCTCCCAAAGTCTCTAAAACTTAATCACTACTTTGTGGTCCCTGACACTCTGACTGCAGTTTGTTTTACTATGTGCATGATGTTACAGGCGTGGAAGTTGGAGCAGGAGCAGCTAAAGGAGGAAGAGATGGCCAAGAAATCAAAGAAGGAGAGTGCCCCAAAAGGCAAGCAGCCGAAGGAGGAGGCTAAGTCAACGGACAGTAAAGAAAGTAAAACTTTGTCTGGTGGCAAAAAGAGCAGAGCAGAGACAAGAGGCAACTCAGCCAAGACTCCCAGAGAGTCCATTCCTATCACAGTAGCCCATGTGGAGGAAAACAGAGAGATGTATCACACAGAGGAGGACTTTAATGTGAGTACACACACAGAAAACAGTTGAGTTTACAATTTGCAATAGAAAACAAACAGCAGGATATATCAGTCATGTCTACTTACAAGTAATACATTACTATGTGTGTATGGCTGTTCATGTGTGATGTGTAGGGTTTCACCGGCTACACAATGGATGGGAAGTTGATCCACGTGTCAGGTCGTCTCCAGTACCTTTTCCCCTCAGATGGAGGACACATCACTGTGGAGAATGTCAGCTATGTTGAAGGTATAGAGACAAAGCTGAGGTTGTCGAGGATGCTCCAAATTTGTCAGGTGCCTTCAAAAGCAGCCCAGTTATTCTTCACTGACACCTAGCGGTGTTGACAGGTGCTTTGGTTGATTTTGCACCTGCATACTTGCATTTTGTGCTGTTTTCAATCCAGGTTCCAGCCTAATGAAACTGGCTGTGAAAAAGGATGGACATCATTTCTACACACACATCAACCAAGTTGTTATTGATCCAGCAAAACCTCCCCCTCAGCCCCACGGCAAAGAAACCAGTGACAAAAAGGAAGACTGTAAAGGTAATGATGCAGGACATAATACAGGCATTAACAGCAATATTAATGTTATTTACTGGATAATACTGATGAGATGACCTGTGAGTCTCTATCCTTTCCAGTGTCAGAGCCTGTGGAGATGAAAAGAGTGAAGCAGGGCTCCCTGTCAGCAGTGCTAAACAATGGAATTCACCTTTCATACAGTTTCTATGGTCCCACAGGAGAATATATAGGTATTACACTCTACACACTACAGTTTTAAGCCTTTTGTGAAGTTTTAATCTGTATTTAAGTATTTCAGTCTTTACTTAATGTTGAAAGCAGTTTGACTATGCTGATAAATTGCTAATTCTAAAGCTATAATTGCTAATGCTAATATGCTAATAAGTTCAGTGTTCCAGGTATTCTTATTATTATGTTTGAAGTGGACAAGGTTGAATGTTCTTCACAGACAGGTAGTGTTAACATTGTTTCTGTTTGGGGATGTTCTAGTGAGTCCTCAGAAAGCAGAAGAGGGTATCACAGAGGCCTCCACCCTTGTCCCCATTCCTCTCTCCTCCTCCACCCAGCGCTCTAAAGCAGACCTGGATTCACTTCCCTCCAAGACACACACCCCATCCAGCCAGAACAGACCTCAAGAGTTGCAGGTTACACACACACACACACACACACACACACACACATACACAGAATACCTTAACCATGAAAATAATATTGTTATTATCATACTACGGTATGAAATTGTATAGCCTATCATGTTTTTGTCTATAGTCTAAGGTGTGTGAAGGCCAGCCAACAATGACAGCAAGTCCATTCAACAGTCTCAACCTGTCTGTTCCTAATGGCCTGCTGCTGCAGTTTCTAAGAGAGGATACTCAAGGTCAGTGTTACACTTCATTGGGGATGTAAAGTATATAGACATGCATACACAGGTGTGCGTGTGCAAAGCAACATAACTCTGTATACACTTTTACATGTCCCCTAGACACTCATCTGTACATGTCATGAAAATTAAATAATAAATCAAAAGGGGTGTATTCTGTATAATAAATTTGAATCTCTCCCATGCTTAGATTTACCTGCTCATACACATTGGCAGAAGAGGATTTTAGCCACTTTGCTTGATGTCTACAAATGAGTCTAGCTAGAAACAGGAAGAAGTTTGTGTTGAATGAATGTGTCCTCTTTAAAATTTCAGCATGATATTCCATAACTATTATATTCCCATTTATGACTCTATACATATATTCATTCTCAACTATTTATCACATAATTTATGTGTCCAGGAATGTTCCCAGAGGAGCAGGGTATGCTGGTGAGACAGAGCTTTCCTCTCCATGGTAGGGGAGAGCTGAGGCAGCTTCAGGACCCTGCCCTCTCCAAAGAAATGTCCCGCAATGTCACCAGCCAGGGAACTGTGATCCGTTACATGAGAGACGGGTCCACAGAGGTGCATACACACACACACTCATATAGAGCTACACATAGGTTAGGTCATACAAGCAGATTTGTAACATCAAGAATTCCTACCTAGGGGTGTCGTGTGGCCTTTGCTGCATGTCATTCACCCTCTCTCTGCCTCCCCATTTCCTGTCTCTCTCTACTGCACTATCGAATAAAGGCATAAAAATAAACATAAAAAAAAGCCCAAGAATTCCTACATAAAATGGTGAGAACCCCCCATGACAGTGTATCCACACAGCCACACAAAGCATTAGCTTCGTCTGTGTATACTGTAGGTGCTGTTTGCAGATGGCTCAGTCAGTTTCAGCCAAGATGGTGGTCCAGTGTGGGTGCCTGATTCTGAGGTTGAGGAGGAAAATATTCCCCACGAAGCTGAGGACAACAAGAAAGGTCAGACTGCAATGCTACCAAATCTAAAACATTGCTCTCCACCATGCTGTCTGATGCTGTCCCTTGCTGTGAGGATAATTAAGTATCATTTTCAATGGCAAACAGTGTCATATGATCTTTGTATCCTGTGTCTGTACAGAACAGAGCTCAGAGGAGGAGGTTGATGCTCGGAGAGGGTGTTGGTTAACTACGACTCCCTCTGGAGAACGCATCTGCACTGTGGGAACTACACACAAACACATACCCACTGCCCCTCTTAATGCCTTCAAGGCTACAGACCCCATCACCCATCAGGTAAGAGTGCAGTATTACTCCTGATGTCACAAAGCAGTTGTCTCTATAGTGCCATTTTTCAGGGTATTAATATCAATTTATATATAATAATATATATAATAATATATAATAATATATATAATAATACATATATATATATATATATATATATAATTTTGATGTTGAAAACTCACAATTAACATACTTTGCTACTTCAAAATTTTAATATTTTGACATTCTCTGAAATACAGGTCCCATTCTGAAATCACCTTATGCTTTTTATTGCTGACTTCTCTATCTTGGCATGTGTTGTTGTGTCAGGTGATGCTGAGCAGGGAGGATCTGGTGGTTTCTGTCCAGAACCCAGATGGATCTCTGAGTGTGGAGCATGCAGATGGAACCAGGATTACCAGTCTCTACCAAGACAGACCACCAAACACAGGTGACCAGCAGACACTGCATAAACACAGTCGTCAACGCTACATAAACACATAGCAACCGGACAATCAAACCTGCGCTCACCAATTTTTCCTGTGTCTGTTACCTTTCCAGGGGAGCAGCCTGAGAGTGTGACTCTTAAAGCCACTTCTGAATGTGTATGTGGCTGCATTGAATGTGTGTGTGTCACACGCTGCGCAGACAGCATCAATGACAAGAAGCATACCCAAGATACTCGTGACATTGGAGAAGAGGGTTGCAGGGACGATGCAGGGAAAGCATCTGACAAGGAGTGTGAGTTGAGTGAGTGTGAGCATGTGTTCGGTGAAAAGGATCGTGCTGAGAATACATTTTATAAGAATGTTGAGGAGAGTGTGTTTTCAGAAGAGACTGTGGCTGAGAATGGTATGATGAGCACATGTGAAAGTGATAAAGGGAGTGTGTCAACCAAAGAGCGGGTGGTGTTGGTGGAGAAGAAGGGCTGCGCCACAGTGGTGATGTATCCAGAACGACATATGGCTCACGTCTTTTTGGCTGATGGAACTGTCATCACTGGGAACAACCAAGGAGCCTATGAGGTGGGTGGTTTATGCCAAGTGTGTTTTTTTAAAGAAAAGTTGGACTATCTTAATCGAAAGGGATGCTCTAAGCCTATTTATACCAGTGCTGTCTACCATGGTGTCTTGATATGACCAGCAGATGGCCTAAATTAAAACAGAATGTTTGTTGATAGACTCTCTTACGCAGAATCATTTGTTTAAAACACATTTGCACATTTGTCTGTTTACCTGTTTGTGTGTATGCTCGTGCATCCAAGGTGTTCCCATCGAATGCGGGGCTCCTGCAGATTCAAAGTGATGGGATGTGTGTGTACTCGTCTGATCCACTTGTAACCCCAAGTCCAAAAGGTGGCACTCCCACAAACCAACCAGGAAGCTACACCTTGAGTCACACAGACAAAGTTGCTTGTGATGTTATAGACCCCGATGGGAACCACTTTCAGGTCAGTTACTAGTTTTATAAGAGGATGGGTCATTGCCATGATACTAATGTTTGAAACTGGCTAGCATTGGAGGACAGTGAGAGTTTATATCTAAGAAACAGACCTTCATAATCTCAGAGTCTCAGGGAAACATCTCTTCTGGAAAAATAAAGGAATAACTTAACAAATAAACAAACAGAACAGACATTTACTAACTGTGTTTCTGTCTTATAGGTGATGGAGGACGGGCAGGTATCAGTGATGAACTTCAGTCCTGCTTCAAGCACAATGAAACATGATGAGGAAGAGCCAGAGGAGGAGGAGGACAGAGAAGTGACCAGGCTTCATGTAAAACACAGAGAACATTGTCCCAGGTGGGCTTCCATACATACAGTATGTACAGTAAATTACTTGATATTTCCACCCCAATGAAGCTTTTTCACTTCATAAAAAGTTTATGAATAGTCCGCTACTGTAATAATGACCATTTTGAGGGCACATATTCATTCTACTATTCAACTTCAATACTGGAAAAGAAAGTCCACAACTAACTGATGACTGCAAATTATCCAAATAGTTAAATCCCTCAATATTAGTAGTAGCATGACAGTTCTTAACAGTAACATTATACTACTTCTGTGATTGTCAGTGTTACTGAAAGTTTGAAAAGATATCTCATCTTCCAGGCTGTTTCTGGTACATGAGGATGGCTCAGGTACTGAACTGCTGAGCTCTCAAACTGTAGAGGAGCTGCTCTACCAGGCGTACTCTGACCCTACCATAGCGCTGCTGAAGGAACCCCTGCCAGACACACAAGGTGCACTGTTCAATATCATTTAAATTAAGAGACATAATATGATAATATTGAACCTTATTGAATCTGAAATTACATTTCAGAGGGGATAATTCAGTAAGAATTGTTTTATTGTGTTGTATAGCCATGTTTTAGTTAAAAGCGTAATATTCTCTCAGATAGTAGTTAATTATCTGACTGAAGTTGACTGCTCTTTACCTATTATGTTATCCCATGAAAGAGGAAGAGAGAAATCTAATTCTGTCTCCAGAAAATAATGTGTTAAGTTTGCAGGTGTGTTTGTGCTTGTGACCATTCCAGATGAATTTGGCATTACCATCCTAAAGCCCAGTCACCAGAGTGTGTGGTCCCAGTGGATGCTAGGGACACAGAACCCTGACATTACCCCTCCCAACCTCAGAAACCGCAGCTGGCATGACTTCCCCTCTGTAGAGGTACTGGCACACATAAATATATTGTACATGCACACATAGGCCAACAACACACTCAGGGCCAGTCACCGACACTTCTCTCCTTTTTGTCGCTCTCTCTGTTTCAGAAGAAGAGCCCAGGTCCTCAATTTGGTACCAACATGGGACGAGGTTTGACTCTGAGAGAGAAGTCTGGTGGTTGTGAAGAACAGCACCAACCTGTCAGGACCTGCCCTAAAGTCCTCGAGATGAGGGAACTGTACCAGCACCGACCATTCACCAGGCTGCTCAAAAATACTATAGACACACGGCTGAAGGTGAAACTTACCCATCATCCTTTATCTGACAAATGGTCATGTGATACTTTACCCTAAAAAAAAATGATGCTTAAGCACTTGGTTTAAAGTGAAGTGGGTTACAGAAAATACCAGGCACCTGAAAATATTCTGACTTTTGTTACTTTTAATTGTGACTTTTATAGACATTTTTTTACAAAATTCTGACAAATGTTGAAATGTGACTTTGACTGTAGGAATACATAGAGAGTTTGATGGAGAGGGAGCAGCGATCAGAGGAGATGAAGGTTAAAGACCCTCGCACTGAGGAAGAGAGTGCCCAAGCCAGTGATCTGCTCAATTTGGTCCTGGTCAGCACACACACACACACACACACACACACACACACACACACACACACACACACACACACACACACACAGACACACAAATGTGCACTCGTAGTAAAATAATGAATCATGTATTTTATAGTCTTTTGCAGAGGAAGAGGATGCAGATCACATCTTTGACAAGACCTCAGGTGAGTGACTGCTTCTTGCAATGTTTTGGTTCCGTGTGAAGATTTGTCCTTCTCTGGTTTTACCCGATCAGTTTTAACTAATTAATCACACCTATTGTATATTATATGAAAAATTGTCACACTTTCCTCTGTGTGTATCCACAGTGGACATAGGCAGTCTGTACAGCCGAGGTGTTGGGGCCCAAGTTGAACAGTCAGATGTTTCAGAAGAAACAGCAACTGTAGCTAGTGACAGGTAAGAGATATTAAAATACAAAACAAGAATAGATAATGTAACACTCTCTACAATGACAGTTACAGATATTTAAAAAGTTTTTTTTAAAACTGTATTAATATCCTTTAAACCCCCCTCTTCTATCCAGCATCACTAACGGAAAAGAGTCAAAATGGACAGTAAAACGCGCACAATACAGGTAAATATAAAGGTACAGGTACATAAGAATTAACCATTACCTTGACATTTAGTAACTGTATCAAGTTAAAAAAAACACTGATTCTGGTAAAGTTTTTCCACATCAACGTTCACTGAGGCACTTTAATGCACTGAAATAAGTATTTTATAAAATTGCACTCACAAGAGCATCTTCTGGACATCTGTGGACACACTGATGTGTGTTAACTGTGGAAATAGCTTTTAGCCCCTCATTTTCTGTGAGGCTACTGCTGTGATTCTCCTTTGAATGAAATTATGTGGAACAGAACTACAGCATCTACCACAGCTACTGCAATATTACTAAAGGAGGGTTGCAGGATAGATATTGGACAAAGGTGGGGAATACTACCACAACAAGTACATTGAATTTGTACTAGGAGCCTTCAACTCATGAGTCATTTTCTCTGCATGCATGTGTACTTCAGACTGGAGCTCTGTGAGGAGAAGGCTTGTAGCATGGCTCTAACAAGGAAGAACATTGTTCCTTATTTCCACCCAGAAAATATTCCAATATACCAGGTACTGTATGTGTTCTATTTAATATATGTACTTAACTATACTTTCTTAAAGTATTGTGAGTCAGCATTATTATGATAAAACCCATAAATCCAAACACACATTGATTCAACATTTCTGAATTTATATACAGAAATACACAGCGGACAGTAAGAGACACAGCATCATGCCTTGTTTTTCAGAATCTGCTCCAGCACCAAACACCAGACATGAGGAGACTATCCATGGATCTTCCTCCGATCCCCAGGTCAGACAGTGCTGAGACCTTCCTCAAAGATGCCCCACAAGAGAACGGTAAGTTATTATACTAGCAGTATTTACTAGGAGCTACTAAGGTCAAACTCATTTTTCAGGGTTTCCTGTCAGGAATCTGTACGGGGAAACTGAGGCTGAATTGAACTGAATTTTCTAAAACTGGCAAAACTTGCCACTGGCTAATGCATAGAAGCAATAGTTTTAGATTTGATTAACATGCATAGTGTTTAATATGATGTATTTGTGTTTGTCACTGCAGCCCCACGACCTTTAAACCCAACACCCTCTCAGTCAGCAAGGTAATGATGAAAACGATGTTATGAACTGTTTTTTGCTTTTCCTGTGTTTAGGTTTTTCATCTAAGTTTTCACTTAGATGTAGAAGATGACACAACATTTATATTTTTATTACATAAATTGCTTGTCTAATTTATGTTTTCAGTTGTTGTCGTGACACTGCTTAACATCTGATGTTTTCCTCTTAGTCATGCAGCAGGAAGTGACAGGATGCCTGAGATGAGACCTACTAACCCCACACCTCAGACTGCCGGTTTGCCCTTCACACTTCTCTTTTTTTCTATGCTTAAATGAATCCCCCAATCAGAGATTTCAGCAAAAATGTGTCAAATGTCAGTCTATTCTCAGATTAGCTAAAAACATAGTGTTGTGGAATAGTATAATCAATCAGGAGCTACATTGAATGTTGCTGGGACATTTTGAGGGCGTAGTCTGAATTCTATTTAAAGCATCGTCAGGCCCGAGAGTACATTAAACCTGTCCCATTTCTTCAAGGCATGGTAAGAAAGACATACAATACTGGTAAAGCCTACTTTTCTGTTCAGTTTAAAGGTGTTGGCCATGATCCCAAGAATACACTGTATGATTCACAGTGAGATTTCCAGATTATTTCTAGGTTGGATGTCATGCAGGTTAGGTTGATTGAATGCTTTAAATTGCATATGAATGAATGAATATGTTCTTGTGTGTGTCCATGTCAGGTGAAATCAGTCTGAGGGGTTCATCGGGGCCTTATAAGTCAGTCCAGGTTGATGTGACAGGGAAGCCTAGGAGGGCTAAAGTCAGACTACCAACCTCCATCCTCAGTTCTAAACCCTGCAGTGTACCAAATCAACAGGTACACACACACAACATTTAGACACATGCAGTTAGAAAAGTAAAATATGTGATATATCACTACATGTTAAAGCTTCCTAAACAAAAATTCTATTCTTGTTAATGGATGACCTGTGTTTTAAATTCAAATGATTGCACATTTAATTACATTACACAGCTAATAAAGTGAAATGTTTTTTTGTTTTGTTTTTTACCAAAGTGTGTGCTGTACCCAGCTGACATTCCTAAGTTTGACTTATCACCTATGAATATTAAAAAGTATCCTGAACTGACATCTAGAGGTGGTGATATGCCACTGTAGAACATGTTAGAAGAATTAACTACCTTCACTATGTTTCTGTTTTGCAGTCTGTGACCCATTTCCCCCCTTAATATCCTGTTATCATGCAATAAAATACCATTTACTGTACATGTGCCTTTGTCACAATCACAGTCACACAAATACTGTTCACACATGTATTCACACATGCCTCTGTCTGTGTCCCATATACCAGTTCCTATCAGTGGAAGAGCCAGTGAGGAGGAAGTGTCGTACAATTTCTCTGACTTATCCAAATGTTGTAGTGAGGGGCTTCCAGCTCCTCCCGCCCAGCGTGGACTTTGGCACACTGCAGGAGGGCACCTCCTCTGCCATTACTGTGGTGATGAAGAATGTGGGTGTTGACTCCTGCAGGTATGGGTAGATGAAAGGATGAATAATTAAATACACAGGCAATTCTGGACTTCACATAGGTGCATGCGATTTCTGGGTCACTTTCAAGGCTGAAGGGAACACTTTGACCTGTAAATATTTGTGGTTTATTTTCATCTGTCTCTCTGCCAGGTTCCATGTGAAACAGCCTCCCCCAACTACAGGCCTCCGGGTCATCTACAACCCAGGGCCTGTAAGTGTCTATTTGGAAGTTATGATTCAAATGAATGTTTGGCTTCATATTTGAATTAGCTTTTTTTCCAAATTAACTCATATTTGATGTATAAATAAATTTTTAAAGATACATATATTAACTTAGTGAGTTGTTGAGGTGTTGCGTGCATTGGTAATGACAACAAACTACATATGCTGTGAACTGTCTGTCTGTCTAGGTGGCTGCTGGTTTGCAGGTTGAACTGCAGGTTGAACTGTTTGCCATGTGTGCAGCCCAAGCAGGAGAGGTAGAGCCAAAAAAATACATCTGTCAGGATATTGTCATCCACACGGAGACAGATATCTTCTACCTGCCTGTCACTGCTAATATCCTTTGAACTCCTAAAGAAATGCTTTACTTTGGAAGAAACTTTTGCTTTTCTTTTTAGTAGCAAGTATTTTTATAAGTTTTTGTCCAAGAACTAAATTGCTACTATTCAACCTGCGTGCATTGTTTACTAAATATCTGTGCACAAATATTTTATGAAATTACATTTTAGCATAAATTTATGTAGTCTAGCTCATATCTTGTTTTCAGTTTTTGTGTGACAGCACTGACATACATCAAATTTTCCTCAGGAAGGAAACTATTATACTAAATTGAAGATAAAATGAAGTTGTGAAATTTCCACTGATTCAACAAGTGAGTGGTTCAGCCATGTCTGTATATTCAAAACATACAGTGATCTTGGTCCTTAAATAATTTCACCCATCCTTCATGAGAGGTTATATGACATTTGGCTCAAGGACCACACCAGTGTACACAAAAAGAAAGGCTCCAGAGTACCTGAATTGTCTTCCGGCTTACCGGTTGGCCAGGGAGTCATACACAGATGAACCAATCCCCTCCTGCCCAGTCCGGCAGCCAAAACAGGTCAGTGTCTCAAACCAAAAAATTAAATTAAAATCTCACACCTCTGAGTTCAGTTGCTGTGCCATCAGTATTATTGAACCTGTTTTTGTTTGTAAATTTCAGGACATCCTAATGGCACTACTAGTCACCAGGAATACACAAAACCATCATCTTCAATCAGATGTCACATTATTCAAGTCTTTGTCCAATTATCACCATACCACATTCCTCTATTTTATTCCTCACAAACCAAATATTTTGATGGATTTAGATATTTTCTTTAAAATAAAATCTTTATTAATACACGGAAATAATTGTAGCATGTGATTTTTGGGCTTCTGTGTTAAAATATTTGGAGCATGTGTGTTTTCATAAGACAGCTTGATAAATAGTAGCAGTGGCCATTTTAATTCGGCTTTTTTGGCAGGATATGGATGCTTGCCCCTGACTGTGTGCCTGTCTCTCTCTACAGGGGAGACTCGCGCCTGTGCGTGTACTCAGGTGAATAGATGGGGGTGGGGATGTTGGTATATGACGTCAACGGAGACCCGACGCAAGGTGCAACCAGGGCCAAACAAAGCTGAATAATGACAGTCACCGCTGCTGTCATTTTCGTGCTTCGACGCCTCCTATTTATCCTCTGCGTTGCTCGCTAAAACCTAATAATCATCTTGTGCTCATGAGTCTCTTGCTTCATTTGTGCAGCTGCAGGTGGCGAAATCCTTGGCTGTGGTTGGCTCTCCTGCGCTGTCGGTCACGCGCGCACACGTGCACATACGCACGCTCGTAGCTCCAGCATCACGAGAGGCAAGCAGCGGCAGTAAAAACGGTTTAGGCAGGGAGGGCAACGGGCTTTGACTTTGGGTGCGTAGTCACATTTGGCTCTGAGCAAGGATGGAGCGGGTAGAAGAGGAACACTGAGCGGTGTAGCAGGTGGAGAGACAGGGAGGAGGCGAGGGGGTGCCGCTAAATCCGGAGTAGATGATGCTTATTTGCCGCAGGCCCCGCCATCGTGAAATTGGATACCGACTTGCGGCGGATGGGGTGACCGAGCTCGCTGCTCCGCCGGGGAGGTCCCTGCCTTCGGACGGTACCGGGGTGGGAGCTGCCTGATTCTAAGGAGGGAAGGAGTGGCAAGAGGGAAAATGCAGACGGAGGAGGAGACGGCCACCGCAGAAGAGCCCATTTTGGAGGAAGGGTCAGGACGAGAGCAGGTAAGGAAGGACATTTAAAAAATATATTTTTTCCGTTTCCCATCACGAGTACGTGGTTGTTTATGCGTGGCTAGAAAGAAACCAGTTAGCGTAAAGTTGCGCATATTTTTGCCCCTTCAAGAATCACCTTCTATTTTTATGTCATTGCTGGTCGTCGTTTTTACATCACACACCACATATGTCGACTCCTGGTCTTTCATTGACAAAACCTGTCGTTGCTGTTGTGGACGTGAGCGAGTCACGTTTTGCGCCCAAGTCCTTCATGCCTTGTTCTAGAGCAAGGACACGGAACAGGACCTTGGCTTTAATATGAATTGAGATGAGGCTGTGGTTTAGGTAAACAGAGAGGGGAGGGAACTCTAAATGCCTGACTAGAAATAAAGCCACAGTATTGATGAGATATGTCTGGCAACGCTGTATGATGTGTTACGCTTGGGAGAGATGGTTTAGTCTATAGTAGAGTATGACCATCTGCCAGCTGTCACCACTGAAATACACTAGAGGGTGACATCACAGTTGAGCCACACACCCACCATTTCTGCCAAAAATTACACTGACACACGTGAATGGTTAGATCACTGAATAACACCTCCAGCCAGTGTGGTTATTTATTTACACTAGTGTTTTACAGGGAATTTTCATGTGTGATAGTAGGATATAACCGGCAGTGTGTTTTATTCTGCAGTTTATTTTCCAATCAAATATACCAACCTCCTGAGCATTTATCACCGTCCTTGCACAGGTCTCCCCCAACAGTCCTCCTGTTCCTGAACCATTATAATGGAATGGACTTAAAATGATATCTGTCTGAAGTTTACACATGAACTATGGAGCCTTGAATATGACTACAGTTTTCAGTACAACACCTTGCTGCCCCACCACCACACTCACACACGTCTTTAGCAAGTAACCTCTTCGTCCTAAGCAGTTCACTGCCTCCTCTACTACTACTACTATACTTTGGTCCGCAGCATGATTTATTCAAACACATCCCCTTTTTAATGAAAACCTTGATAAATACAGTAGGTTATGATTGAAAACGTTATTAAAGTCAGTTGCCGCTTAACATGATGACAGTCTATACCCGTAGAGGAAGAGTAAGACTTGTGTGTGATGCAGTGGACAATAAGGAAGTGGCTATACTACAGAGGAGGAAATACACAGTGGGGTTTACTTAGGTAGTCTGATATCGGCTACTAGTACAAATTATTCACATATATGCTGCATGGAGTTGTGTGGAGTTGAGCAGAAAGGTGGGGTGTGTCGTGACGTATGTACCAGTGGCAATATGTTGGTGTCACGCTTGCTGGTCAGGTGAGACAGAACTGGGTACTTGCTCCATAGGCTAGGGTCTTGGTCACTCCTTCACACTTTTAATTTTCATTGTCAGTTAATCAGACTGTTATTTTTCTGATTATTTGATGATTTTTTTGTGTGTGAAAGGTCAGAAAATAGTGAAAAATGCATTGCAATTTTCGTGAACCGTAAAAAGCAGCAAATCCAGACATTTCATTCTAGCAACTATGAATTCTCCATTGATTGGATAGTCAATTAATTGACAAATCGTTTTAGCTCTAATTAGCTCTAAATATTGTCTAACTACTTATAAGGCTGGTTTAACGAAGACATTAGATACTTTTGGTTGAAATTTAAAGCCTTAGGCACATAATATGTGGAGTCAGTAAGCCTGTTAAATGATGCCTTTCACTTCATTCTGCCACTCTCCTGTCTTTATCCATATGCCTACAGTGCAGACAGTGCAATGTAATGCAATGAATTCAGTCTGCATGTGTTCTCTGCCTCCATTACTCTCTCATCTTCCTCTCTTGATCTCCTTCCTGCTTTATATTTGTCCGTCAAGGAGTGTACAGCATCATCTTCCCATGTCTCGCTACTTGACTCTCATTCTCAAGCACTTGCACACTCATATTTTTCTTAACTGTATTTACTCACATGGGTTTGAATGAACACTCACACAAGCATTGTTAAAAATGAAGTAGAGCTACATGATTCTCAGTTTTTAGTCTTACGTACTTCCATGCAGTTTCATTTAACTCGGCAGTGGTTCTGCCATATTTTAGCAGGGAAGTCTGTTGCATCAAACAAAGTGATTTAAATATTTCCACATGTTTCATCAACGGATGATAAGACTTAGTTCCACCAAATGAGGAACCGTGCACAGGAAGAGGGAGGAAAAAGACAAATCTAATGTGGGAGAGAGTTATGAGTGCCATGATAGAAATAAAGTGAAAACAAAATAAAGAATGAGAACAAAATCAGAATCAAGAAAAACCTGCAAGAAGAAAAGAGGGAACAAATTTATTCAGACAGAAACATTATGCTTGTACTGAAAGAAAGAAACACCTTATGTTGTACAGGAATTTCTCATTTAAAGATTAGAGTTGGTGTCATCCCATTTTTTACATATTTGTGACCCGCTCTTAAAGATTCACTTCATCACTAGGAAGAAATGGCCTCATGCCAGACTGGATCGGGAGGTCCAAAAGTATTGAGATAACGACTAAACATGGTTAGTTTAGGCTTTGTGATTGGATTTGTGGACAGTAAGAAAAAACAGTATATTGCCAGACTTATCTTTGAAAGACGATGATTGTCAAAAGCACATACAGTGCTTTGCTAGCGATTTTTGCCATGGTTGGAGCACTTCAGGGTTACACAAAATCTATGCCACTATCTACTGTAACATAAAAACAAAATGCAGTATGACAAATATTACAGCTACAAACAACCCCAAAATCCTCGACCTCACATCCCTAACCCTATAACAGGAACCCTATCAGTGCCTCACCACACCAGACTGAAAATGGTTTCATGAATATAAATAGAGAAATCATGATTGTAATTTTCTATAGAATTGTGCAACCCTTAAATGAAGCCATTTTTACACAAAGAAGGGAACATTGACAGTTTTGATGGGGAATGGATAGAAAAGGCAGTCTGCAATAAGAATTGAAAACAGTACACAACAGCAGCCTGGCTAGCATCATGGGAATTAGAGAATTTGTTTCATAAGATAAATAAGAGCACAGTTGCTGAACAGGAGAAGACAGAATAAAACAGCAAATGTGCTGTGGGAAACACTGCTTTCCTGGGGATCATATGTCCATGTAATATTCAAGGCAAAACACTTGTCTAGAATTAATACCAACCAAGTTTGTGCCTGTTGTTCATTTTTTTCTGTGCTTTATCTAAAACACAAAGCATATTAACATCTTTTTATACAAGTTATTCTGCAGATGTTTAATTGGACAGAAATTTCATAAGAGCTGATATTCAGTGTGAAGGCACCTGCAAGTTGCTATGAATGTGTTGCTGCGCTTTACAAGTGTTATGAATTAGTTGGTCATTTGATTTAATTTAAACAAATTTTCACCTGCCTCTAATAAGATGGCAGATTGCAGCATTGCTCCGGTGTCGGATGGACTGTTCCCTGAGACTAATATTTAACATAAATATGAGATTTGATTTATTTATTCATCCTTATCAAATCTATGGTTCCTATATTGCTTTTGTCATGAGATGTAATTGAGAAACAAAAAGTGACTCACCAGTGAGACTTTTTTTTTTTTTTTTTTTTTACTATATATTGGCAAAACAAAGACTATTGGGACTGATCATGCAGACAGGCTGCATAATAGTAAACTGTGCTACAGGGGTTGTTTTAAAAGTGTCAATAAATGTTTTGGTTCTTTATTCTGCTGTGAAAATTTGTCACCATTTGTATCTATAGTATTGTAACTGTGAATTCAAGCTGAAATGTAGGCTGACTACTGCTTTCAATTGTATTTCATTTATTAACAGAAGGCCTGCATCTTACCTGCTGATAATTGTCATTCAGTCTCCACTGAACAAATTATTTGTAATAGAGGAATGATAGGTTTTTTAGTGAGCATATGATGATACATTTTATTTCCCTAACTCATCAAGTGCCAACGATTAATTTCTTGTTCCAGAGGGTAATAGAAACCTGACATCCTGAACGACTCTCTCCAATTGTGTTGAAATGACACATCATTTTTAACAGTGTACTGCAGGCATCAACAGCACATTTTCCTTTCCTCACTTCCTCACTTCATTTGCCACCCACATGCTAGGATTGCTAATTATAGCTGCTCCAGTCACACCTAACCAGCTGAATCAGTATGAGCACAGACACAGAGGGGGAGAGGAAAATACACATTTTCTACAAGAGCCCCTTGATACAAGGAGGGATTTGTAAAAATGTCTAAACCTCAAATGTAGAATTTTCCAAATTGAATTTTCAGTTAATTACAAAGTGGAAAGGAAAGATTGGAGGGAGGGAGATCATATACCCAGTATAGGCTACTTATATTAGATGCCTTTGTGTTGAGAGTCATCAGCATGTCGTTCTGAAGAATCTGTGTACCACAACTCTACAACACAGTATTTCTTTTTTTTAGTTGGGATGGATGAGAATTATGTAATGCATCTCATTTATTTATTCATTAATTCATTCATTCAAAATGCAACCCAATGCAAAACAGTAAATATTAAACTTATTAACACTATCACTGTCTCAATAAACAATTCAACAAACACAAGATAATATTAGGACACTGCACATTATTAGACACAACAGAAAATAGAGACAGCCATTAAAAGTTTAAACTGACTTTCAGTCAGATTCAGTCAAAATGTTATCAGAATTCAGCTTTCATGTGTCTGTAATTGAAACATTTCAAGCACTGTACAAGAAACCATCTGCAAGGATAAAAATGAATGGCGATTTGTTAAATTTATTCATCCCACAACGAGGAACCAGACAAGGCTGCTGTGCCTCACCACTCTTTCCTGTTTACCGAACCATCGAGCCGATGGAGCTGGCACAATGTCAATATCAAGGGGATAGGCGTGTTATCGGGGGAACAACAATTGGCTCTATTTGCTGATGACGTATTGATATATCCAACACAGCCTACACAGTAAACTCCCAAAACCGCTGATCCTTCTAGAAAAAT